ATGACCAGGACATCATGGGAAACGTGAAAAGGACATGAAGGGGAAATCAAGGGGAAGCCGGTAGTGAGATGACAGTTCAGGGTCATGAAGGGGCAGTGTTTCTTGGTGTGGGTCAGCTGAGCAGGTCTCCTCATCATCTTCCGCCTGTGAACTCAAAGCGTTGAAGAAAGCCATGGCCCCAGATCGGCTAAGCAAACTTGCAACAAAAACGAAAGGCGTATGATGCGGATGAGTTGAGCCACAGAAGACGCTTTTTGAGAATGTCGTTCTTTGTCCGTGTGAATAGAGAACCTGGACCTCCGCAGACAAGCAACACCTTTCTCGGGCCATGCCTGCGCCGCCTGGCTGCACAGTGCCAGAGCCGCAGCCCATTGCCTCGCGGTCTGATGGGAGTTAGCCCCGAAATGGAAATTGTTCCTTGGATGTCCACCTCCAAGAATGAAAAGGGACTCATCTTGAAACTCCTTTCCACCAACCTCAAGTCTGTTTCTCCTTACAAGCGCTTCCGCTCCCCTGCTGGATTTGTTGACTACACGACCCAAGGGTACCCTCCAAAAAGGCACACCCATCCAATTTCCCGCCCTGCGCTGTCGCTCTAGCCGCGTTGCTTTGCGCAATCAATGCTTGTTGCAGAAAGGGATCCACAGTGGACACTGCCCCTGTCCACCTAGTAGTGGAGGATGATAGTTGTCAGAAAGCATCTCTCCATGAAAGCTAACATGTCCCAGCTCAATTTGATGAAGTGCTGCTGTCCACATTTGCCTTATCGGTGGATGGGCAAATAGCAGCCGATCGCCAACACGTCCTCCAGCTGACTGTCCGACTTCTTGGTTCGATTGTCATTTTCGAGCTAGTTCTCTTGTCTCATGTTTGTGCCGCTGTTACCCTGACATGGGTCCTTGCTGGGTGGAAGAATGAGGGCATGTTTTCGCGGCTGCAAAAGGCTTCACAAGATCGTTGGCCATGGCTTTTCTAGTCCCTAACCCTAGTGTAGCTCCTTCTGCCACCATCATCTCTTCCGGCAAGGATTCTCCTGTTTCAATGGTAGACAAGCAATGCAGGGAAGAATGGTGTCGGCAAGACGCAGGTTTGCTACGGCAATGTTGGCAAGCGTTTCCTTCATCATTGTTTGTGTGTAAACAACGTGTCCTCCACAACGACATTCTATTGAAGATTGAACGAGAAGTAATCAGTTTGCAATTGCTGTAAATCCCCAAAAGTCCACATGCCCACTCAGCCACACATATAACTATAATCCATAAGTGCTGCTCCCATGATGAAGCAAGCATTATTCGTAAAACCATGTTGTTGGGTAGAAGATATGGCTTCTCCATTCTGGCTTCTTGAAAGTCAATCTTGGCCAAGAAGCTGGTCGAAACATGTATAGTTTAACCCAAAACCAAGGGCTCCCCAAGAAAGGGCCATTTCTCGTGGGGCGCACCGCAAACCAAAGCCTTTGTGGGGCCCCTCCAGTTTCTTCCGCTGGCCTCACTTGCTCACAGCTTGCCAGGGCGAAGTTCCGCAGAATGCCCGGCCCGGCGCCTGAAGCAAAACTTGCCGCCTCTGAGCGGAGAAGTTCAGGGGCCTTTTTTGAAATGAACCAAGGGATTCTTCGAAAGGAAGCTACAACTTCTCTCCGATTACGGAAACTGCCCTGGCCCAGAACCTCCAACATCCACCCAAATCCATCAGTGGCGGATTGACCCCATAGGCTGTCGCTGTTGGGAAAACAACAAACCCGCCCAAGTAACTCGGGGAAATGGTTCCAAAGTCCTCCGTTGTAAATCCACTGAATGCATCAACGGGTGCCCTAATTGTCTGACTGTCAAAATTGTTCCCTGGTTGCCTTTGAGGACCAGGAAGGGCACAGGGCCCCAAAACTGATCCATCGAAAAGCGGACCCAAAAGCGGGCTCGTGCACTTGAATTGAAGTGTCTATTCAAGTGGTGAGGGTTTCATCGAAAATGACTTTGACATAGTCCGTTTCCGAGTTTGACAACCCCGTAAAAAAAAAGTGAAACTCTCTGTCGCAGGTGCGATTTGGAACCCCCCAAACCGACTTTGTAAAAGAAAGCAAGATACGCCTCGAACAACTGCAGCTACAATTCGGGGAGTTCCCATCCAGGTTCAAGGTGCAACTCCCGATAGACGTTTTGAGCCTCGGCAGCCACGCCTGGCGCAAAGTGGAGGGCCTGGCGCCAGAGCCCCGCGTGCGCGGAGGAGAGCAGCTGCAGCTGGGCGCCTGGCAGCGAGAAGTGTCCAGGAAGCGGAGGGTACCTTGTTGGTTTCATGATTGGTTTCCTCGCAGTTTCACGGTGACTGGAAGTTGGATGGAACAAACTTCAGAGAATGATCTAACGTTTCAGAGAAGGTCCGGAGCGCTTTTGGGGCAAACACCCTGCGGAGCATGCACTCATGTGAAAGTTTAAAAGCTCAAAGGGAAACCTCCCTCAAACTTACAGCTGCCAGGCCCCTTGGAAAAGTTACTTCTAAGGGGCATCTAGTGGCGTTGATATTCGCCTTAGGAGGGCAATTCTAAAACTACCGAACCTCAAAACCAGAAAACAGCTTGACCCAAATCGTACCGCGCACAACCTGACTATAAGTGTCAGACCAAAACCTTCCTCTCCAGTCTCTCCAAGAAAGTTCAATGTTGATCCCAGGTCAGTCTGACAGTGACCTGCCGAATTTAAAGGTTTGTGTTGGCCACGAAGTAAAGGTTCCCGTCAATCAAAATTGGATACCCTATTCACCAACCCGACCTTATCAATCCCTGCTTGCCATTCCTGGGCAGCAGCCTTGCCTCTTTTGCCTCAAGGCAATAAAGTCGATGTCTGTTCCCTCTCAAGCTGGAAATCTGTTGGCATTGGGCCGCGAAGTGTCCGGGGCGTGCTTTGCACGGCCACAGCACGTCGCGTGCGAAAGGTGGGAAGACCGAGCGCTTGGCTTCGCGAAGCGAGCGCCGAAGAAATCAGCCGCGGCCGGCGCCATGCACGAGAGCAACATCCAGATTGAACTCTTTGCTAGTAAGTACAACTCTTGGAAGAAAAATCAAGAAAATAAAAGAGTCCTCGGAGTCCTCGCCCTTGCGTTCCGGCCAAAGGCCTTTGCTCGCATACAGGCCTCAGGCCGAGGCCTAGATCCCTGTGCGATCTCTAGCCGCCCAGGAGTGCGGAGTCCCGTGTCGAGTTGGGCCGGTAAGCCGCGTGCGGATTTGTCTCACCAAATAACTCCTGTCCTTTTGGATTCCCTTCAAACCAACCAAAAGAGGTTCTCACAAAATGGATGCACCAACATACTTGTCCAATTGCCCATATCTTCAAAACGGGGAATAAAGACTTGCCCTCCTTGGTCGGTGGGTCTTGTTTAGTGAGTGCACGTCCAAACCGAACGTCGTGGAAGTGCGATAGCTGGGTGATGATCTTGCCCGCTGAACCACCTCGAGGATAAAGCGGAGTCCAGGTGGCTGGTCACCATCTGCGCTACGTGGGGGGGGGGAACTCCCCCTGAAATGAGCAACTCTTGTGAGGGACATTCCCAGTCTCCCTCCAACAATAAAAGCTGACGATCGGAGGGTTTTGGAAGAAGACAGCTTTGGACAACCCCGAGCCCCGCTTCCGTCTCATGGCCACTCCGGCTGTCCTTCCGGGCAGTCAGCGGGCACTCCGGGTGCGTCGGGGATCGGATCACGTGCCGCAGGTCGCAAATCACCCCCTCGCCGTCCGCGGCGCGGAAGGAGAACTCCCCCGTGGCCTCCACGGCCTGAAACTGAAGCTCGTGGCGCAAACACGGAAATGGATCCGTCTGTTTTTCTGGTTGGACCCAAAAAATGCCTGGCTTTCCTGTTGATTTTCCTTTGAAACCACAAAAAAACGGTACCCTCAAAAAAAAGACACCTATATCGTGATGGACAAAGTCCTGCAACAGTCGGTAGGTGTATCCTGGCTGGTGCTGGATTTTGTCCATCCACAGTACAGAGGTGGAGTGCAGCTGCAATCAACTTCTGAAGCTAGTTCTATCTTTATCAGTGTGCATACCCGAAATCTCACCATGAAGGTTATCATTCCCACTGCGTCGGGAAACCGCTGCCGCGGCCCGGTGACCTCCCGCCTTCCAATCCGCCTTCACGAGATCCGCTTTGGAGAGTTTGGAGAAGCAGATGCGGAACTGTGCCTCTGACTCCAAGTAGAAGCACACCTGTCAGCCCTCAAAACGGTTGGTTTGGATTGGTGGAGGTTTTCCGGGGGTGGGTTCCCATCCCTCCAATTACAAGGGCCAGGAGTTCAAAACCTAATCCAAACCACCAATTCAGGCCTACCAGAACCTGGCGGAAGGGCCACGCATCCTACCACTGTTGAGTCCCGAAAAAGGTATCACCGAAGGTGGTCCCAAAAAATGCCCTATTTTGGTCACACCACCAGAAAAGCCGAGGTTGCAGTCTGGTTTTAATCCATAGGGATGCAACGCGAAGAGCATGTCAAAAGCAAACTGCACGAAACCTCGCTCAAAGAAACCAAATGAGCCAACCAAATCCGCCATGAACTTGCAGACCCATCGACTTCCCATTCGTACCTGGCGCTCGAGGTTGGGCTGCCACACGGCGGACTCATCCTCTTTGAAGGTGAAGGTCTGTCGCAGAAAGTCTCCTTCGTGACCCAAGTTCTTCCCTTCTTCCCCCTCCAATTGGGAGTGTCCTAGCCAACTGCACCTGCTGGGCCACATCTTGCTTCTGTCAGTTTGCATGTCTCGTGTTGCATTTTACCGTGAGGACTGCATCATTGGTGCCTTTCACGTCATGAATGAAGTTTTGAAGGACTTCTGGGTTGGTCCAATATGCTTTAGTGCTCTGTATATTTGGGTTGAAGCTCAAGGTATCACAAGGTACTTTGGCGCTTGCTGTTGAAATCTCTTCGATTTTTGGCAGCAGAATAGCAGGGAGGCGCCTTCAGATTAAATGCTCGACGGGTTTCGGTTAGATTCAAGGTGGAATTGATTCGCATTCCGCGAAAATGATTTGACGATGTCTCGCGAAGTAGGTGGGGATGTAAGTTTGCGCAAGGTGGGCGTGGGGTTTGCAAAGTGATCGTATAGCTGATTGTACATCGACAAGCGCGGGCTTGTGGCTATTCAAAATAACACTTAGATTGGAGTGTAAGGTGATTCAAACACTAGCAACACCTTTGTCCAAAAGACCCAGCAATCAAAAGGTTGGCCTTTGTACGCATGACTACAAAAACCAGCGTGCAAAACTAACCGGAAAGAGACTCAAATGATAGGGAAAATACTGACTTGAGATAGCTCTGGTTGACTTTGGTGGGAAGGAAAAAGATCAGACACACACCATCTGCCCTCCCCAAAACCTTCCCCTCACCTTCGCCCTCCTCCCCCGCCCAACTCACAAAAGGGTTCCATACCTGCCTGGGCAGGTTATCCTTGAAAAACAACATCAAGTCTCAGAAGTTAGACATCTGAAAATTCCCTCAACCTTCACCAAGTCCCCAACAAATCCTCAACTCTCCCCCCCCCCCAGCCCCTCTCCCGGCCCCCTGCCCCGCCCCCGGTCTGCCCCTCCTGCGCCGAAGTGGAGCCGGTAGCCCTCGGAGGCCTTGGTGATCTTGGCCGCCAGGAAGCGCTGGTAGAAGGCCCCCAGCCGCGCCGCAGCGTTGGAGCCCGGCGGCAGCAGGCACAGCAGATCCATGAGGCACACCAGGTTCCCCCTGCCCGTCTTCTCCGCTGCCTGAGGAAAAAAAAAACACGAGCTTTCCGCGTGAATTGGTGGCTTGGAGTGGTTAGGGAGGGGCTTCCCATTTACCCTCCAGAAGAAGCCGCCACCAATTACTGGGATTCTGAGAAAAGAGCAATATGAGGTGGGTTGGCAAACAGATGCTGCGATTATTTGCCGCATTACATAATGCTCCTTCTCCAATCCTGCACCCGTTTGGACTTATTGACCTCGGTGTCCAACGCCGCATGTGTTGGTGATCTCAACCACCTGTATGTCATGGCCCTACCTCGTTTCGGGGGGTGTTCCTGCCTCGTGTTGCACCTTACTCAGTATGTCACCCAACACATGTTTCCGCCCGGCCTTTACTGAGTCTTGCGTAAATAGAAGCAGTTTGTTCAAATGGCACTGGTAATGCGTAGAGCCAGCGCCATCCAGAATCTAATTTCGAATTGGGGGTACATCCTCAAAAAAAGAAGAAGAAAAAAAACAAGCAGCTTTGGGTCCGGAATTGTTGGGGACACCAATCTGACATCGACCGGTTGAAGTTCATATCGCTGGTTGTGCACTCGTGCCTCTCGAAGCGCTTGCGCATAGCCCTTGGGTGCCTTAGAGAGCATGCGGCATGAGGCTGGCAGGGGTCATGTGATGACTCCCATTTGAAGGCATCAAATGTCTGTGCAGATCTCTGCTTTGGAAACGTGAACTGATCTTCCATGGGTGCCTTTTTGGTTAATCAAAAGCCAATCCAAAACCTTGTTTTAGTACGTACTTTTTTTTTGGGGGGGGGGACACGCGTAGCTCCCTGCTTTTTCTGGCAGCAAACGTTGAGGTGAGGGCAGCGGCGTCCACAAATGGCCGCAAGCTGATCAGAATCATTTGGGCCAGACTCCCTGTAGGTGTCAAGGCCCATTAGGGGATCAGAATCATTTGGGTGGCCAGACTTCCTGTAGGTATCAAGGGCTGTGGAACGGGTGTCCGGGACTCCGAGTTTCACCCGAGTCGCTTGGTTCACCACTACCGCGTTCTGCGTCCCCGGCTCCCGCAAGACCAGCGCGTCCGCGAAGCGCTCGTCGTGGCAGCACACCGCGGACTCTACAATCGGAAGGCCCAGGCGGGCCTCCAAAGACCTGCCGTAGGGACAAACAAACTCCATGTTGATTAATTTCTTCGGGATTGGGCACGTAAGCAATGAGTTTGTTTCCAGTGTTTATATGTGCTTCCGTGTTTGTTTCTGTGTGTGTGTGTTTGCTGTGGTGGGTGGTCAAATGCATAAATCCAGCAGCACTAGCGTCCCCTGAATAGCCCGTGTTTTGCATTCGAATGACAAGCTGTGCCGGAAGCATCTGCTTGTTTGGATCAAGCTCGCATCTTCATGGACCAGAAACTCTCAGGCAGCAGTCATGGCACATTCGTCGTGAAAGTTGATTCCCGATCAAATCCTCAAGAAGCAAGCATTGTGAAGCGGCAGGCGAAAACAGCTGGGTCTCGAAGCCGGCCCTGGGTCTTGGGGAAGATTGCGGGTCGCCCGCCAAGAAGTCTGGAACAGAATCTCACACAACCCTTTGCGATAAGAGCCGCAGACGAGGCTGCAGCGGGGCAGATGCAAGACTCGCCATGCCCGGCACGGCCGTGTGATTCGTAGCCAATTAAATGGTCTCGCTCGCCAAGATAAGCTTGCAAGAAGTTTGGACGCTGAACATGCTCTTGGAAAGTGGAGCTTTCAACGCACCTACAGCCACTGCTAAGGGTTGCCTGGCAAGTGGAACACTGGCGAACAGCGAGAATGCCGAGCACTACCAACTCGCCTTGCTTGCTTTCCTCGCACAGCGTTGGTCAAGATGTTCAATGAGCAGACGCAGCAGCACTTGTTTACACCACCTCACTTGGCAAACCTGTCTTGTAAACTCTTCTCTCCCACATACGCAAGCTGCAGCCTGTAAGGCAGCCTTACAGAGCTCAAACGATGAGCCACTATTTTCTCAGGTGTCTGACCGAATTCGCTCCAAGAGAAAGAATGATGCGTGGCTCACCCTCGCAAAGCACGCTGACAAATCCTGGGTCCGGGGTCCTGATCGGAGCCTCAAGCAGCAAGGATGGAGAAATGGTCTTGGCGAGCCAAAAAAGACCGACGCCGACGCCGACGCCCCCTCAAGAAATACGCAGCCCCCTCCGCAGTTGCTGTTGAGTTTGGCAGTGCCAACCTGATGGTGGGTTGAGGCACTACGGGCCAAAGACCTGGTGAAAGGCATGGGCAACAGCCCGTGCACAAGCAAAGCACGATGGGCACGCGCCGTGCAAGGGTGATACACCGCAAGACGCAACGTTCGCACAAAACAGGACTGCGTGCAGGAACTCAACCGAGCACGTGTAGGCACGGTGAGTAATCAGGGTCCTATGCTCTTGGCCAAAATGTTCAAGGGCATCCTGAGGTCTGCTTTTTTGGGCTGGGGCAAGGGAGCGACGCACACCAGCTTGACAAAGAATGATGTGTGTGTGTGTGTGTGGCTCCGTCTTGCGAAACACGATGACTAGCTCTGCAATGGACTGTCTGAGTTCGAAGCTTGCGCAACGTCGCACCACCTACAACGTCAGTACACTTAGCTGCTTGCAGCCAGGAACGCTGCAAGGTGCTAGTCAACCGCGAGCCTCGCGCTTGGGGTTCACAAACTCAAACGGCACAGTACTGAGCGGCACGCGCCTTGTAACCCAAGATTCTGCGATTTTTCCCCGCAACACGCAACCAGACTTGGGCAACACATATGGACCAAAAACGTTGGCCTTCAAAACAATTCCTGAACAAACACACACAGACCTGTTCACTATAGTGCAACTAAATAGTAAATGTTCCACCCCGCCTGCACTTCTGCCAGGTCTCCTGCAGGTTCTCCACCCAAACGTAGAGCTGCCCCGGCCAGGTGGAGCCCTCCGATCCCTCGGCGCTGGACAGCCTCGTCATGCGCGGAAGTTGTCTCCGGAACCCCCTGAAAGGCGCAGTTCCCCTCGTGTCCCCAAAGAACTGAACCAAAGAGCACACCGAGCCGCAAGAAGTTGCATGGGAATCGTACCTGGCTTTTCGGCTCAGAAACCCCAAGTTGGCGGCACCCCAAATTGCCCCGAGAGCACGTCGCCTCAGATGCGTCAGGCCGATCTGCAAGGGTCGATCGGCGCCGAGTGCCTGGCGGCTCCAGCTTTCCCGAAGTTCAAAGGTCCCTGAACCAGGACACTCATTCTCATCCAAGTCCCTACAGACTGATTCTTTCGTACCACGTCTGTTCAATCTCACACAGGATCTTGCCATTCTCAGATCGGTCAGAAAGCTTCTGTGGAGTTCTGGTTTTTTGCTTCTTCCTTTTTTGGGTGGGGGGGGTACCTTAAACCACAAAGGAACCAAAAGGACACCTGGGAACCAATTTGGAAGGTAAAACCCTTAAAAAGACACACACACACACACACAAATGACTGGGACAAATAAGAATGTGCGTGTGGCCAAAGAGGCTGCCTGTGGATCTGTTCAATCTCACACAGGATCTTGGGGTTCAAATCCCCAAACCACTAATCCAAGTTGGCAGTTTCCGGTTTCAAATCCAAATCCAAACCAATCCAAACCAGGAGACCCCTCAAAGGTAGCCCTGACCCAAGCGATCCCACCATTGTCCGGCCTCCTTAAAGAACCCCCGCGTGGTTTCCTTGGGCACGGCGCTCGAACGCATTGCCCAGGAATCTTCGGGTGTCTCCGAAACGATGACCAAACCATGATTGTCGTCCTCTTGGCCTCCTTTAGATACCATCCCGTGCTTGCGCTTTTGAAAAACCACCGCAAATGTTGAGAGCACTGTGTGTGCGGGTGTGTGTGTGTGTGTGTCAAAATCATCCTGGGCTTCAGGTGAGTTTCCGCTGGGCCAAAAAGGGCGCCTAGTTTTGACATATACTTGTTGCCAAAGATTCCGACAGGATGTCTTCACCATTCACATGTTTTTTCCTTACAAGCGCAACGCCATCAGCCAAGGGAGGATTAAGTAAATGGCTCTTGAAGATCAGCAGCTGGGCACACATGCCCATCAAACCTACCCGTTGTACTTTCAGTTTGTTAAAACGTCTTCTGCTTTACAAGGTTGCTGAAGGGGACGTGATCCCCACACAAAAGAATGCGCATGCAATGCGTGCTGAGATGGCCACATGTATATATATATATATATACAAATACATATATATATATATGCATATATATGCATATGGGCCAGTCGGACTTGGATTTGACCCTTTCAATGTAGTGGTAAACACAACGTAGTTGTTGCCCATGAAGCTCTGCTATTTCTCCACAGCGCTCCACAGCACCCGCAAACAGGGGTTTCAACATCAGCGTGGTGGCAATAGCGTTGCTTAGTTCTGACGTATACCGTCATACCGTCATACCCAAATAGGCAGCACCTTCTTTCCTTTGTCAACTGGTATCACCTGGTATAGCGGGTGTTCAGCGAAGGTCTCAAGATTTGAGAGTTCGCCAAAAGCTGTAAACCCTTCCTTGTGCTTCGGAATAATGCTGACCACGGATGAATAGACCTGTCGGATGCTCTGCAAAAGATTATTTGGACAGCCCCTAAGAAAGTCTTCCAAGGCTCCTCAGAGGCCGTCGCCATGCCCACGTGATCCACCATCAGCAGAGATCCCTCCTCAAGATCTCCGAATCCTTCCCAGTCCCGGGTGCAGCTTCCTTCCTCGGAAAGCGTGGGGAGGGACTCGCGCGAGAAGACGTCTCAAAAAGGGACCTTTCTAGGGGTGCGCCCTGTTTTGAACGCAACCAACCCGAAACCCGCGTTTCTTTTTGCTGAGATTCCCTCGTTTTGACACAGAGCCAAACGAAAATAAACATTTGTCAAAGATAAAAGCGGACAGAACCCTGCTGGTAGGGTACTCCCTGTCAGCAGATCAACCAAGCCGTGTTTACACACTGCCAACTGACTTCTGGCAAGTCACTAGCATGCAAAGTAGTTGTCACTCGAATGAAGCCAAGTGTCTGCTGGCATCAGAAGTTTCCTCATGCCTTCGTTGCAGGCACCCATTCCTGGCGCAGACTTGCCGGCAATGTACGTTACATGTTGTATTCACATGTCTTCGCACCTAGAACATGTTCAAATTTCATGTTGTGGGAAGACCCGCAACACATGTCCATTATATCACCTGAAGTAAACCCTTGAGTGCCAATGGTGTTCTAGATTCCAGTTATGTATCTATTCCAAACATGCGGATAGCCCCCTAGGACAAGAGTGCAAGCAGGCGGTTCCTGCAATTTTGGGTCAGAGTCCCGGTACTTATTCAGGACGTCGGCAAAACAACAGGGGATGAAACAAAAAGGGGAAGAAAAACAAAAAACGATCGGATCGACCTCTTCAACTTCAGATTGCCTTCGCCTGCGGACCTGGGATCGATCTCGAAGGCTCCCATGAATGTCCATCCCGTGAAAGATGGCCCCATCGAAATGACCGTCCCTTTTGTCACAAGAACCCTGTGTCTTCTCCAAAAGCGTCCCAACAACACATAAAAGCCACAAAGCCCCCGGCATTTGCCACGCTTGTGTCCATGCTGCCGCGAAAGCCTTTGCGGCCTCCCCAAACCAAATCGACAACTGCCCCACCTGCTGCAAGTCGCTGAGTCGCGACGCGAGCGGGGCGTCCCAGGCCGTCCGAGTTGCCGCTGGCTCAGAGCCGGAGGCTTGCGAAGGCTCCGAACCACAAATTCCCGCAGGCAAATGTGTATGCTTTCCAACACGGTGGGGCTGCAAATTAGTTGACCTTGAAGGGTTGCCAGACTCATCACAGGGGGCAGGTTCAAGGGCACCGCAACTCTTCAAATGGAGTGAGAAAGAAGTCCCGAAAGAAACGCCAGTTTTGTGAACGTGAGCTGCAAAATGTACCAAAGGGAATGTTAAACGTTTAATAGTTTCTCGCAGTGGGGTCTCAGCTATGCCGACAGCTTCTCAATGAGCTGTGCAGTTAGCCAAAAGAAGGAACGCTGCACTTCAGCCACATCTATTGCCTTTGCCCATGGCTCATGCGTTCAAGCAGTTGCCCCTAAGTGCTACGGCGAGAGTTGAAAGGAAACGACACACTCTGTGCGGAACGCAAAACAACTAGTTTGCGATTGGCCTACCTGAGCAAACTGCAACAAAAAGTGACCTACGGAACCAGAAGGGGCGCTCAAAAAAAGAGAATACTCGGCGCGCTTTTGGGGCGTCGTAAATCTGAAGGATCTTCAAGAAGAATCTGGTCATAACCAGTTGAGTCGCCCTTCGTCCACTTCAGACCTTTGCCCGCACCTTGGGAGGCCACGTCCTGCCGCAGACTGGCACAGCTCATCGCCTGTTGGCACGGAGCCTGACGTCCAAAGTCAATGAGATCTGCCTGAAAATACCGTGCTTCCCTCAACTTATGACTCTGCGCAAGCAAACAAAATATAAACTAATCATTCCTGCTGATTTTGAGGGTCTGAATCCTTTCAAAGCGGGCTTCCGGATGTATTTAATGAACCCTAGGCGCGAAACCCTTGGAACTGGTGTCCAAAAAAAAGAGCCAAATGGAAGTCGTGAAGCCTCCGGGTCTGACTCATGAGACACACCGCGGCAGTGCCCTGAACGGCCTCAAATCACCAATGACACCCATCCGTCCAGCCATCCGTCTCCAATCCACAGCGGTCACCCCGAACCGATCCCCAATCTCACACCCCAATGGAAGGCTGGGCCCTGAGACACAACAGGCTTCCACCAAGGACACTGTGAATACAGGAATCCAGGAAGGTGCTCCGTGCAACTTGCCAACTTGCCTGCGCCCCCAGTCGTCCGGCCTCCAAGACTTCTGCAGCTTGCTCCCACTGCCGGCCTCAGATCGCGGAGGCGATCTGGGCATGTAGACAGTTAGATGATATAAGGAAAACAGAAAGCAAGCTGATTGGCTCTCTTGATTCATGTTGAGGATTCTGATAGGCGCATATTTGGGGAGGACTCTGATTTCAATTGCACTGAAGTCAAAATTGAAGTGACGCCCCCACTCCACGGCTCGTAGGCCCAACAATATTTGGACCGGGGTGTCCAACGATCTGCGACAAAAAACAGCTGAAACAGAGCTTACTAGCTACTGACTCGCCAGGTCGTGCTGAGGCGGCAGCCGCGAGTGCAGGCACTGCAGACCGCCACGAAGAGTGTGGCACTCCGCAAGCCTCAAGCCGCAGGTTGACCTCTGACTTTTTGCGAACCCCCTCGGAAGACGGAAAACACTCAAACCCAGGACTCAAGCAGACTTTTTTCAGGTCGGATCTTGCCTCCGGTCTGAGCTTCATTTGAAGGCAAAGCGGTCTATACTAGCGATCAGTTGGCCAAAGCGGGCACAAAAGTCAGGGTTCCAAAGCGCACCCTGAAGACTTTTGACCAGAAAACACGAGGTGTGCTTTGTGGGGATACTGTGGATGGACGTGGCGGCCTGAGCCCAGCAGCGCCAGCGCATGCTGCCAGCGCCCCGCCTAGAGGAAAATGCCTTCAATGGCAGGTCCTTTTGTTGGAGCCGCTCCCGGCAACATTCACATGGAGCCTGAAACGAGGGGCCCCCGAGATAAGGTTCCTCATGAAATGAGTCAGAGGGTTTTGGGGGTTCCATGTTGATCGGCAGGGAAGTTCGTAGGGAAGTATGTGTTTGTCCTGTTTCGAGGATCCCCACATTTGGAACTGAATCAGTTTGGAGGGAACTACCTATTTCTTAACATCTGCAAATCATGGATTCAAGGGACCTCGCAAGGGCAAAACATGTAAAATCGCAGCTTCCAGCATGGGAAACATGATCATGTCGATGAACCAGCGTGCTCAGACTTTCTTTTCGAGAAACATGCTGCCCAGAGTGCAGGAGTGCTGGCATCCGTTCATCAACAGCAAGTCATGATCAAAGTCATGGGGTCGTTTCTCTTGAGCCGCCTGCCATTTAATTGAGGAGGAACTTTGATAATACCGTGAACAAACAGAGGGGCGGACGTGCCAAGTACACTTCCAGGATCTTCGACGCGATTTCAGGGCAGAACCATAACTGGCGGTAGCCAGGTTGCAAACATCGGCTCCATACATGCCCATTGCTTGTCACGGGGAACAGGACATGTACGAACATGTGTATATGAAGATACTTTCTGAGGATTTGCTTTCGGGCCAGGATCAAATCCCGCCTCCTCCAGCGCCATGGCCACCGCCACAAGGCCTGCCTCATCCTCACAGAAAGGGGGGGAGCCCCGTGTACCGAAACCCCTATCCCTACCTCCAGTTCGGCTTGCCAAGGAAAGGTGCAGGGGCGGCCAAGAACATCGGGAAATCACTTGCAAATGCAGCCGCATCCACGTGCAGTAGGTAGCCCTGATATCTGAGATGTTTCTTTGTACGTATGTAGATGTTGGGCGAACCATGAGTCCTGCATGCATATGTATGTATGTATATATATATATGTACATACCATTTATACAAATATATACACATATACATGTATACACATATCATTGTGGGCTTGCACTAGGGGTACGTGCTTGAGCCCTTCACCAGGTAGCGGCAAACCCGCGCGCCGGCCCAGCGCGCGCCTCCGGGGTCCGCTCTTTCACCAGCTCCAGCGTGCGGGGCCAGGCGCCGGCCCTACTGCAAGCCAGCAGTGCAGAGTTGGCCACCTGCCAAGCCGGGCCCCGGGGCTGTGCGTCGTTTTGTGGTCGCCAAACCGCCGCCCAATTCGCGCAATTCGCCTCCTGACTGGGCGCCATGCGCCGGGGCGCCAAAGCGTCCAGCAGCCACAAGGCAGGCGCCCACCGGGCGCCTCGACAAAGCATTGGTTTTCCGTCCGGCAGCCCCTTGAAGGAGGTGTTTTTAAGGCCAAAAAAATGGCTGGGTTGGCACAAGGTGCACCAAGGTGCCTCGGTTGCACCTTGTTTGTTTTGATGGGCCTTATGTGTTTGTTAAGAAGAGTTCAAAATTGAAGTTTTTCAAAGAGAATGTCTACTCAAGGGCGTGTTATCAAACATGTAGGGGTGAGCCCAGACCTGTAGGCTCCCGAACCCAACTGCAAGCCAAAACTCATCAACCCGTTTATGGATCTCCTTGCGAAGGCCAGTTAAGAAATTAGGAGCTGATTTGAGAACCGAACCCTTTTAAAGTTGCCTCTCAAAGAAAGGGGAGTGAGGGGCAGGCCAACGGAAGCCATCAGCCCAGGTTCCGAGTCGCTTTGCGCGAACATCCAATGTGACGCATGCCTCATGTGGCTTCCATGGAAACCAAACTTCGGACAGGTCGAGTCCGGCCACCCGCCTCGGCTGCAGGCGCTGGCCACCGTCCCGAAGGATACCACGCTCAGAGCCACGCGGCGCCTCCGCGGCGCGCGGGGCCACTGGTCCGGGGCATGGAGCGCATTGCGCAAGGTACTCCTGCAGAAGTAAAATGGGGAGGGGGTCAGAAAACAAATGGGAAAAACAGAGACAACTGAAATACACTGCAAAGAGTGCTGACAACAGGTGGTTCATCACTTGGTTCACCACTTGAAGCCCCTCCGATCAGGAAACCGGCACGCCGCACCTAAGCGCATCGGTGAAAAGCCGCAGGGCAGTCCTTGGCCGCAAGACTGTTGAATATGTACATACATACACTGCTTTCCGGTACGCGTTTCGAAGAACTCTCAAGGGTTTGTCTTGGGCCACAGCTGGGGCTTCTCGCCGCGATCCAGTGCGCTCAGCACGACGTTGAAACCTCCGATCCGCAGATCGGCGGGTCAAACGTGTTTCTAGCTACTGGCGGTGAAAGGTCAAGTTGATGACATGAAAATAGACGACCCCGGTCATGTTACAAGCTTACAATGGAAGCAGTTAACGACACACTTTTGAGAAAATCTCAGCTGGGCCGTGCTTCCAAGCCACACATACAATGCCTGCGCCCAGTCACCCGGTCGCTTGATGGCTTGAAGTAATCCTTCGAAATATGGGGACTGCCCGGGAAGCCGCGCTCGTCACATCCCTCGATGAGGTCCTGTCCTGCGAAGTGGCTCACAAGCTCCAGCCTGTAGCTGGGTAAGGCAAATCACACTCTCGCGCGGCAAAGGTTCATTTCCCGGGGTATGATACACAAATAATTTCTTAGATGCATACTATGAGCTTCAATTGGGATCCTTTGGTGGACATCATTTGCCTGGGATTAACGTGCACCAACCATTTAAAATTCATGGCCATGTTCGGAACTGGAATCCTCACCAAGGTTGGACGTTTCGCTCTTGGAATCGTGTTTCCTTTGTTCGCTTTGGGGTGACCCCTGCAAAGTGGACAAGACTGAAACAAGACACCTACCATCCACCAACATGATAACTATCAGCCTGCCACCCACCATGGGGTCCCTTTTAGAGCAAAACCGTCTGCCAGGCTGCCAGGACATCTTTGTGAATGGCAAGTCGGGGCTTTGCAGCCAACCCTTCCAGCGGGTCCTGCAAAGCTGCCTGCCACACGGAGCCCCGCACCGCAGCTGTGCCTCGCACTCTGTTGGTGGCTGTTTCGAATCGCCCGCGGGCTGTCGTTTTAAGGGATCCCTCAAAATTCTGGTTTACCTTTGGGCTTCCCGTTAAGCCCTGCCAAAAAGGGGTACCCTCAAAAACAGACAGGCCCAAATGGTGGCTCAAAGGGAGACCACCCCCGAGAGTAACTTTGACTGCAAGGGGCCCAGTAAAAGCGCCAGGCTTTCCCTTACCGACAAAATAGGGTAAATTAGAGCTGGCACCTGCCCATCCCAGAAACGCCGGCAAGAAGATACCACTCATGACAAGAAATCCAGCGGGAGTGCATGTTGGGGTTATTCGGGTGAGACAAGCATCAACAAGAGACCATCTTCTGCCAAGGCCGCGTCTTTGTTTGATCAGTATGGCGTTAATAACGAACGCTCAGAGCAGCATTCACCCTCGTAAGCGACGGTTGGCAGTTCAAAGTACAGCACGGCCACGATGTGCAAAAGAATAAGTTGCAGGGCGGCAAAAGAAAATGGCAACGTGGCAATGAACCTCCGGCTATTCTTGTGAAAAGACCAGTGCGGGGCAATTCAGTGCTTCCCAACTTCTTTGGGGAAAGCTATAGCGGACGGCTTGATTCTGAGCATGCCTCATCCAACTTGTCTTGGAAGACAAGTGTTTTTTTTGCCGGCAATGGCATCTGCCCAAGGTGTTGATCTCACCCCTCGCTCTCCCGGCCTAAGCCCTGCGCCCAGGGAGTTGCTGCTCACCAAGGAAGGTTCGATGCCTCAAGCGCACGGATGGAATTTCCACCTGGGTTTCCCGGGGGTGCGGCTTTGGGGTGAAGCGGGTCTAGTTGTAGGGAAGTGGGAGGATGCCGTTCCAAAGGGCGTCTGCTATACTTTTGGGGTTCCTTGATATTCAAAACGGGTGCCAAGTCGAAAGTTCGGGCAGAAGCAGGGATGGATTGAATTGGGACCTGCTTAGTGGATCATTGTGGTGATCTGGCCAGACAATGATCGCGACTAGCACAGGGCCTTGCAGTTGCCATTTAACAAAAGTACTCTCCAAAATTCAAAGCCCAACAAAACGACAACACAAATTTCAACCACCAACCACCATAGCAAGCGGTGTGTGCAAGTTGTCGTGCTGCACAAATCCTGCATGGCCAGTTTCTTAGTTGGCGCCTCACTGGCTGAGCTGGACTGAGCCTAAGGCCGTGGAGGTGCATTTGGCCAAACGTCTCAAATGCCAGCCTGGGCGACTTCATCATAAGAATCGGCAACAAGGTCCAAGTAACATGCGAGAGAATCAGGGAATCACGGGTTTCCTCAGGGAAGAGAAGGGTGGTCCTTGAATCAGCCCGCACAAGTCTGAACTTACTCGAGGCGGACAAAATACAATGTGCCCATCCTGGGCGTTGAATGTTGAGAAGCAACGCTTGGCACGCTTCTGCTTGCAGTTCATGGGAACCACCTATTCAGCTCCAGCAAGCTTCTGAGCAAAGCCAGCTGCTAGATTTGCGGCGCATCCAGCCTATGCCCATTGACTTCGCAAGCCTTGCAAACAAGGGATGCCCCAAAAAAGGAGCCTTCGTTCGCCTCGCTCGTTGGCCCCGATAAGGGTGTTAAACCCAGAAGACCTCCAGGGGGTCCCTCTACTTCCCTGAGAAGGGGGCAAAAGGAAACCCCGCGGTCTGACTTACAGCAAGCGCGGGATGGCCCTGCCTTCTGAAGCTTTGCGAAGGTTGGCTGATGCGTGTTCCCAAAGATGGCTTAAAAGGAACCAGGGGATACATGCCTACTCCTGAAAAGTGAAGATTCATTTAAGAACTTGGGGAAACCCATGGGCTTCACTTCGGAACTTGGCTCAAAATCCTACTCCAGGGAGAAGCACTTGAGCTCCGGCAACCCCCCATGCCCCGATCCCCGATGCCCTGCCTCCAGGACACCTGAGCCATCAGGGTGTTGAGCGCCACCGTTCCGATGCGCAGCTCTGCCTGGTTTAGTGGCTTTGACCCATGGGGGAGAAGCGGGGTAGGAGGCCCAAAAAAGACCCTGGATGAGTTTGAGAGGAAATCCATGGGCACAAACCTGGGGGCGGCAAGGACTGGTCAATTGGAGCTGAAGGACCCCCAAAGATCTGGGAGAATGGCAAGCACCCTGGATCTGGCGGCTTCTAAGTCAGGTTGAAAGCAAGCGGCACAAGTCCGGGTGCAAAAAGGGGTGAAGCTTTTGCGCGACAGTCAAATCTGGGTGCAATTGGCCCTGGGTGTTAAAAAGGGATGTGATTCAGTTCTCGGAGAATAGGGGATCCCCTGTTTTGACCCAACGAGGAGTCCCCGGAAGTTCATTCAGGACAGATTCCTTTGGCTGCCATGCCCCCACCTCTTCCGCCACCCTCAGCAAGGCGACAGCCCCGGCCCACTGGCACACTGCGTCGGCCACAGAGTTGTATCCAACCTCCCGGCGAAATCCGCGCTTGGGCAGCGTCTGAAACTGCAGCCAAGAAGCCTTCAGCTGGAAATCCAAGCTGGCTCACAGTCGTGCAAAAGAAATGGGAGTCTATTTTGACTCGATGGAAATTTCGTCAAATGCACCAACCCAAGCATATCCCTTGCCTCGTCTGGCACAAGCCTCTTGCAGGTGGCTGAGGACCTTGATCCGAGGCATGGCCAAACGGTGAACATGTTTGGCGCCTTCTGTCTTACTACTATTGCCAAAAGGTTTCTTCCCCGAAAGGAGTGAATAGGAATAGAGTCACCTGAATGCATCCAAACAGTGCCTTGAACACCACCCAAAGCCTCATATCCTACAGACATCCTTAGTTGCCCTAAGTTGCTGCTAGGTGTCTTGTTTCCCAGGGCAACCCTCCGAGAAAAACAAAAGGAACAACGGCAAACACGGCGGAGGCGGACTCCCCCAGACGGATTCCCGGCCCATCGGCCCCTCCAAAAGCTGAGCCGAGCGCAGCATGAGAAGGGCCCTTCGCCACTCAGTGCGGCAAGCCGACAGGGCCGCCTCTGGGGTGCCCCGTTGCTCAACGGAGGGACCCAGAAATACAAGGTGATCACCTTTTGGGACCTTTACGACAAATGCACCGAAAGGGAAAACCAAGCAGGTCAAAGGGTCGGCTTTGGACAAGAGAGAGTTCCATTCAGACGGGTCTTCTGCATAACTAAGCTTAGAAATCATTGGGTAACAATCGACGCATTGAACAAGTTCTTCATACCAGGAGGTCAGCTCTATGTGTGTGTGTGTTGTTTTCACGGATTGCACCCAATGTGCTCCTGTACAGCGCTCCAACCATCAAGTTTCAGGACACCATCCGGCAGGTCATAATGTCTCTAGTCAGTAGGAATCCTGCCAAAAGAGTTGCATGGGCTTTGTGCCGATCGCCATTGAGGTTTGGAATGGCCGATCCCAAACAAAAAGGTTGAACCAATACCACTGAACAACCGGAGTCCCCTTGTCTTTTCAAAGAGCCCCCAACTGAAGGACAGCAGAAAACGCCAACGTTGCTCCAACACATAAACATGGGTGTGCCTTTCTGTTGGGGGCGATTCCTTGGTCTGCAGGCTTGCAGGGAAACGAAACTGAAAGCAACTTGTGGATCCCAACCGATTTTCACAGATACCCACATGGCTGTGTCATTTTTTTGAGGACCCCCAAATTGATGGTTTTCCTGTTGGCGTTCCCTTCAAAAGTCGGTGCCCTCGAACAAAGACGAGCCACCCAGCACCCAGCCCTCGGGGCCCCTCGGGGCCCCTCGGGGCCTATCGGGGCCCCCGCGTTGAAGCCCACCGCGCCCATCGCCGGCGCCGGCTCCGTGCGCAGCGCTTGCAGCACCTCGCTTGGGACCCGCTCCAAGCGGCCCCCCCCCCCCTGGCATTTCCTCGGTGGGCGGATAGGGAGGATAGGGGGGCCGGGAAATTCGATCAGATCCATGCACTTTAAACCAATGTACTAAGAAAGCACGCGAACCTAGCAGAACGGTGGGATGCATTTCCATCCCCCAAAAAAATCAACATCTCAATTCAAACCCTATTCAGCAACCAGGGGTGAACAAGAGAATGCAGTTTGCTTGGTCCATATCCCTGACGTATAAGCGCTGCAAACCACTTAGCTGTAGCTTCGTCACATCTTCATTGACGCTGAACACGTTCTTAGACATGCGCTGTGAATTCAAAGAAGTGCATTGTGGGGGGGGGGGGTCTTCCCATATCTTGGCATCGGACAAGAAACAGCCCCAAACCGCCCTTGACAATTCCTGACGACAACAACAAAAAAGTTCACTCCCTGAGCCCCACAAGGGGCTTTTCCCCGGATCCACCAGAGACTAGGCATAAGAACCACACACGCTCGGCACGGCATCCATCAAAGACCTGCCCCAAACTTGCCCCCTTTGCCTGGGTCCATTGCCTGGCTTTGCCGCAGCTGGCCAACAGCGTTCCACAGGACACCTCGGCTCTAGGACTTAAACCAAGGGGTCCTTGAACGACCTGGGCTTAAGTCCTTGAGGTGAACAAACACAACTTTCCAGGTGTTGCAGGCAAGCGTCCATAGGAGGAACACAAGGCCAAATTCAAGCAGCGGGCAACCAAAAGCCGTTGACCCTTCTGGTACTAAAGGTCCTATGGGCGTGACATTGCTTGAGGTTCGGCTCCCCTCGTGGAGTTGGTGAGAGGGAAAGCAGAGGGACAACCACCCACTTGACAGATTTGGCGGAGTTGACAGATTGTGAGAACTGTGCGCGCGCGCCTGGTTGGGAGCAATGCCCCTGCAAGTCGCGTCCTGCGATCGGGGCAAATATTGCTTGCCGGCACAGAGGATTGTTTCTGGCGACCTGAAGATGCGTCCCCGGATCTTTGGGGAAACCAAAGCGAGACCGAACAAGCAAAGCAAAAACTGGCTTCCCCCCAGGCCGGCTGAACATCTAAGATGAATGACATACCTGCAAACATACATGGACCCAGTAGAATAATACCATGGTGTGCAAATACCAAAACATAAGACGCATGCAAACATTTATAATAACAACAATAGGGTGTCAATCATAGATGTTGACGAAGCTCTCTACGTGCAATGCGAATGCGTGTGCGGTAAAATAATAGAGGGGAACAACTCACACACACACACACACACACACACACGCACACACACACACACACACACACACACACACACACAAACACACACAAAAGAAAAGAACCTTTGGGCTCCCTCAAAAGAGACGACTTCCAACAAGGTTGCCCTCCAAAAAAAGGCACAAACCAGGGGGCCCACCAAAGAGGGCGAGTTGTTCGGGCTTCCGAGAGTCCGGGCACGGGCACGGCCATGGCACACTCCTCTGCCAAGGCCAGGGAAGGACCCCAGGCGGACACCTCCCGATCCAGATCCATGTGGGTCTTTCTTTGGGGCTCGGGGAAACAACTCGTGTTTTGGACCGGCGGTCATCCACTCTTTCCGTTGTTTTTGGACCGCCGGGTACCAGTTTTCAGCTTTTCATTTGGGTACCCCATTTGGTATCCCTCGTTTGGTAGTTTTAACGGGAAACCAAATGGACAACCCCCAACAAGACACACCCAAGTTGCTGTCACCCTCTCCGCTAACATGGAACCTGGTCCTGGTCTGGACGATCTTCCTTTCCAAGAAACTTTCTGGTAAGGTAGGGTAGGTGTTTTTGTCCGGGAATCCAAAGACCCTACGGGAAGTCTTGGGTGAGCGCAAGCATTTCTAGCGAGAATTTGGTGAGTGCACCCCGTGTCATCCCATGACAGGGATTTGTGCGTCCTTCAAGGCATCACCGCAACAAGTTTCACCCTCACGTCGTTTGTTTGGACATGTTGGAATCGGTGATATTTGAAAACGGCTCTCAAGGCAACTCCGGTATAGTCATGTGGCCGCTGCTCGCCTGCGAGCGCGGGAGATTGGCCCAAAGCCTTCCCCCCCCCTTTACCACCTGGCTTCAGGTCGGCCTGCTCAACAAGGTCCAAAGGGGGAATTGAATCAAAGGGCCTGATAGCTTGCTGTCACCGTAAATTTTTGCAGCGAGGGTAGACTGGCTCCGCGGCTCCGCCTGCTGCGCCGCTCCGGCTGCAATGCTCACCGCAATGACGTCCGCCTGCGCGGAGAGTCAGCTTTCGCAGTGCGGGGAAGATGAATTCCCGAGCTCAAGCGGAGGCTCATTGAATTCCTGTATTTCTTCATTTTTGAAGTGGCAGCATGTGTTCCTGTTTGGGCGAGGGGATACAGCAATAGCTCATTCCTTCCCACCTGGCTGTGGCTGCTTGCCGGTCAGGCGCCTCCACATGCGCTGACATGGCCCCGGTGAGGATGTCGAACCCCAACTGCCACTGCCCAGATTTCCTCAGCTGCATGAAACACGCAGCCTTACCCGCCCCCAACCCCTCTCGGCCATTGACACACGATTGGATCTGTTTGGAAGAGCCCCCCCCCAAAAACCTCACCCTCAAGGTTGCAAAATCGACCCGCTCTACTGCTCCACTCCCCCGTTTTTTGTTTTTTTTCGTCGAAAGTCTGGCACTGCGCCAGCAGTGCGGTCACCTCCCGCAGCGCCCTCGAGGCGGCCCGGCGCAAGGTCCTGAGAAGTGGACACGAGGGGATTGGTCCTGGGTTTCCCTGCGGGGGGGATAGGGGCTGAGTGTTGGTCGCGTTATTCACAGGTTCGATGATTTGACGGATTTCGCAAAGACAAACATGACTTGTGCCATTCTCACCCCGAGACTTTTGTGTTCCCACGTCTTGGAAGAGCTATCCTGGCCGACTCGGACTTTTCATGAGCATCACGATCAGATCATGAGCGACCTGACCCCTAAGACATTGGGTGCTATGGGTGCTATGTGCTGACCCTGAGAAGTTGCAGGCTGAATTGGCTGAAGATCTCTAAGTTGGGTCTTCATGCACAAAACTGAAGCCAAGTTGTCTGAGCCTTGCCAGACGGCTTAAAAGGATCTCAAGAGACCCAGCCTAGACTTCACTTATGGAAGAACTGGGCTGGGGATGGACCTAGTCTTCTCGCACTGGGGTGTGCGCATGGCCCCTGTGCAGCACTGGTCCAGGACCGTCGGGTCTTCCCGGCAAAGCTGGCACTGCTCCCCACCGCAGCCACGGCATTTCCCCTCCACGCAGCTGGACACTGCTTCGGCCTTGGCATCTTTGCACATCTGCGGAGGATCCACGGAATGCCAGTGGTCATCACAGCAGGTGGCGATGCGCGTGGCATCCTGTTGGCACAGCTGACATTGCTCACCACCACAGCCCTGGCAGCTCGTTTCCATGCAGCTCTTCACAGATTCCTCCCAAACGCATTGCAGGCCCTCGGCGCCGTAGATTCCATCGCAGGGGTTCTTGGGCGTCGCCTTGCACATGGGCGCATCGTAGCTGCCGCAGCAGGACTCGATGGTCTGGGCATCCTCGCGGCACAGCTGGCATTGCTCTCCACCACATCCCTTGCAAGTGACCTCGATGCAGTGAGTGACGCAGGTTTCGATAGTCTTGGAATCCTCACGACACAGCTGGCATTGCTCTCCGCCGCAGCCTTTGCACTGCTCCTCAATGCAGTCGCTCACAGTCGCTGCACCACCGGCCACCAAGGCAAACAGAAAGACCATGCGCATGCAAGCCATGCTGCTGAACCGGGCTGGGAGTCGGGAAAACCGAAGGTCACAACCGAACCGAGAGTCTGGAGCCAAAATGGCTCCGGCCAACTTTGAGGTCAAAACATGGCGCCGCACTACCATCTGGCTGCTGGTGGCTCCGCTGTGCCCGCCTTGCTTGGGAGCGAAAGCGCGCTGACGCGGCCTCCCAGGTCCGAAAATGATCAACTCAGCAGTTTCCTGGCGCTCGCAGAGTTTGCTTTGAGCCATGTTCCAATGAAAGGAATCAACCGAGTGTAGGGTTGTTGCCTCCATGACCTCGTCAAAGTCATCGTCTGTGTGCACTGCACCGACTGCTTTACACGAAACTCGAACCATCCGCCCACAGTCAATGTCCTGTTTCTTGTTGAGCTGTTCTCCTTTCAAAGAGACTCGCAAATCACTTGAGAAAACAACTGGTGACCAACATAGTAGGTGAGATATGTGAGATCATGAAAGCAGGCCCTCCAAACGGGTATGATTCGGTATGATACGTGATTAGGGACTCATTTGGCCAATCTTTCCAGAGGTATTCTCAATTGGAATTTACAAACCAACCCCCTGCCAGGCCTTCTCCCATGGCCCAAATGCCAGAGCTGTCCGCTGGAGTCTTTGTCCAGAGGGCCTCTCGGGCTCGGGTCGCTGAATTCCTCCTTGTCCAACATGGCTGCACTGCAAGGGGTGCCAATTGCAAGAAACAACAACTTGTGCCATTCTCACCTCTTATGCCGAGACTTTTGTGTTCCCAAGTCTTGGAAAAGCTATCCTGGCCGACTCGGACTTTTCATGAGCATCACGATCAGATCATGAGCGACCTGACCCCTAAGACATTGGGTGCTATGGGTGCTATGTGCTGACCCTGAGAAGTTGCAGACTGAATTGGCTGAAGATCTCTAAGTTGGGTCTTCATGCACAAAACTGAAGCCAAGTTGTCTGAGCCTTGCCAGACGGCTTAAAAGGATCTCAAGAGACCCAGCCTAGACTTCACTTATGGAAGAACTGGGCTGGGGATGGACCTCGTCTTCTCGCACTGGGGTGTGCGCATGGCCCCTGTGCAGCACTGGTCCAGAACCGTCGGGTCTTCCCGGCAAAGCTGGCACTGCTCCCCACCGCAGCCACGGCATTTCCCCTCCACGCAGCTGGACACTGCTTCGGCCTTGGCATCTTTGCACATCTGCGGAGGATCCACGGAATGCCAGTGGTCATCACAGCAGGTGGCGATGCGCGTGGCATCCTGTTGGCACAGCTGACATTGCTCACCACCACAGCCCTGGCAGCTCGTTTCCATGCAGCTCTTCACAGATTCCTCCCAAACTCATTGCAGGCCCTCGGCGCCGTAGATTCCATCGCAGGGATTCTTGGGTGTCGCCTTGCACATGGGCGCATCGTAGCTGCCGCAGCAGGACTCGATGGTCTGGGCATCCTCGCGGCACAGCTGGCATTGCTCTCCACCACATCCCTTGCAAGTGACCTCGATGCAGTGAGTGACGCAGGTTTCGATAGTCTTGGAATCCTCACGACACAGCTGGCATTGCTCTCCGCCGCAGCCTTTGCACTGCTCCTCAATGCAGTCGCTCACAGTCGCTGCACCACCGGCCACCAAGGCAAACAGAAAGACCATGCGCATGCAAGCCATGCTGCTGAACCGGGCTGGGAGTCGGGAAAACCGAAGGTCACAACCGAACCGAAAGTCTGGAGCCAAAATGGCTCCGGCCAACTTTGAGGTCAAAACATGGCGCCGCACTACCATCTGGCTGCTGGTGGCTCCGCTGTGCCCGCCTTGCTTGGGAGCGAAAGCGCGCTGACGCGGCCTCCCAGGTCCGAAAATGATCAACTCAGCAGTTTCCTGGCGCTCGCAGAGTTTGCTTTGAGCCATGTTCCAATGAAAGGAATCAACCGAGTGTAGGGTTGTTGCCTCCATGACCTCGTCAAAGTCATCGTCTGTGTGCACTGCACCGACTGCTTTACAAGAAACTCGAACCATCCGCCCACAGTCAATGTCCTGTTTCTTGTTGAGCTGTTCCCCTTTCTAAGAGACTCGCAAATCACTTGAGAAAACAACTGGTGACCAACATAGTAGGTGAGATATGTGAGATCATAAAAGCAGGCCCTCCAAACGGGTATGACTCGGTATGATCTGTGATTAGGGACTCATTTGGCCAGTCTTTCCAGAGGTATTCTCAATTGGAATTTACAAACCAACCCCCTGCCAGGCCTTCTCCCATGGCCCAAATGCCAGAGCTGTCCGCTGGAGTCTTTGTCCAGAGGGCCTCTCGGGCTCGGGTCGCTGAATTCCTCCTTGTCCAACATGGCTGCACTGCAAGGGGTGCCAATTGCAAGAAACAACAACTTGTGCCATTCTCACCTCTTATGCCGAGACTTTTTGTGTTCCCAAGTCTTGGAAAAGCTATCCTGGCCGACTCGGATTTTTCATGAGCATCACGATCAGATCATGAGCGACCTGATCCCTAAGCAAATTGAGTGCTATGGGTGCTATGTGCTGACCCTGAGAAGTTGCAGGCTGAATTGGCTGAAGATCTCTAAGTTGGGTCTTCATGCACAAAACTGAAGCCAAGTTGTCTGAGCCTTGCCAGACGGCTTAAAAGGATCTCAAGAGACCCAGCCTAGACTTCACTTATGGAAGAACTGGGCTGGGGATGGACCTCGTCTTCTCACACTGGGGTGTGCGCATGGCCCCTGTGCAGCACTGGTCCAGGACCGTCGGGTCTTCCCGGCAAAGCTGGCACTGCTCCCCACCGCAGCCACGGCAGTTCCCCTCCACGCAGCTGGACACTGCTTCGGCCTTGGCATCTTTGCACATCTGCGGAGGATCCACGGAATGCCAGTGGTCATCACAGCAGGTGGCGATGCGCGTGGCATCCTGTTGGCACAGCTGACATTGCTCACCACCACAGCCCTGGCAGCTCGTTTCCATGCAGCTCTTCACAGATTCCTCCCAAACGCATTGCAGGCCCTCGGCGCCGTAGATTCCATCGCAGGGATTCTTGGGCGTCGCCTTGCACATGGGCGCATCGTAGCTGCCGCAGCAGGACTCGATGGTCTGGGCATCCTCGCGGCACAGCTGGCATTGCTCTCCACCACATCCCTTGCAAGTGACCTCGATGCAGTGAGTGACGCAGGTTTCGATAGTCCTGGAATCCTCACGACACAGCTGGCATTGCTCTCCGCCGCAGCCTTTGCACTGGTCCTCAATGCAGTCGCTCACAGTCGCTGCACCACCGGCCACCAAGGCAAACAGAAAGACCATGCGCATGCAAGCCATGCTGCTGAACCGGGCTGGGAGTCGGGAAAACCGAAGGTCAAAACTGAACCGAAAGTCTGGAGCCAAAATGGCACTGGCTGCTGGTGGCTCCGCTGTGCCCGCCTTGCTTGGGAGCGAAAGCGCGCTGGCGCGGCCTCCCAGGTCTAGCAATGATCGGTTGGCGCGTTGCTGGCCCAAAGTCAAAACAAACGAGAATCTCATGTGTTTCTTGTTGGGGTCGGGTTGACCAGCTTTATTTTCATGGATGGAGACTCAATCAAGAGTTTCGGATGGTGGCAGGGTTGTGGGAGTTGGGCAGTTGGGCGAAGGGGTCAAGTGGAAGCCTCTCGCGACCCTCCTTTCACAAGATCGCCAAATGACATGAACTCGAAAGTTGAACAAAACCCTGCGTGCACCGACTGCTTTGCATGAAACTCGAACCATCCGGCCACGGTCAATCTTGTTGAGAAGTGCCCCTTTCAAAAAGAGGCTCGACAAACTCACTGGTGAACAGGCCCTCACAACGCTGAACAATGTAAACCCTCGCGGCACCTGCGGCCCTGCGGCCAGAGCCGTCCGCTGGAGTCTTTGTCCAGGGGGCCTCGCCATTCGCAGGTGGCTGAACAAAATCCTCTTGATGCGCTCCTGCGTAGATCAACCTGGAACCCAAGACACACCAAATTTAAAGGAGTCTGCTTTTGAGGAACCCCATTGTCAAGTGGATTGTGGCACGGGGATAGCCTAAACTTGTGAAAAAGGGCTTGGTCACGATCCATTTTGGGCTACTTGGCAAGTAGTTTGCAGTCATAGTTCTGACGGAGTGTCTCAAAATAAGGGAGCCCTCTAAGATGCGCTGACTCTAAAACAACCCCAAAGGACACCGTTTCAAAATGAAAACGTATTATATAGATATAGATATATAATACAATACAATACAATACAATATAATACAATACAATACAATACAATACAATACAATATAATATAATATAATATGATAGAATATAATAGAATATAATATATAATATATATATATATAGTCATATCTGTATGTGCGCAAATCATGTCAACAGAAGGGGCATGTTCAAACTCGACCGCTTTAGGCCTAACCTCACTGAGACAGGATCTGCAGCACCCATTTGTCAACTTGTGCATGGTTTTTGAGGGTCAGCCGTTCAAAGGAGTTCAACTAAAAACCATGATTCCCAAACCGGAAATATATGGAACCTCCAAGCAAGGAGATTTAATCATGGTCGAGCTCCAGAGCTCGCTATCATAAGCAAACAAACGCAGCAGATCCTTTGACAACAAAGTCCACACCAAACTGGGTTTGCAATTCAAACACGTCTGGAAGCTACCACCACCACCACCACCACCACCACCACCACCACCACCACCACCACCACCACCACCACCAGCAGCACCACCATCTTCAAGTCGCCCCACTCCATCCGCATCCGCTGACTCGGACGCCTCAACAGCCGCGCCGCCGAATCGCGCAGATCCTGGCACAGCCGCCGCGCTGGCGGCTCCAGCCCTCGGCTGCCCTCACAGGCGCCCAAGGCCACGCCTCGACCGACGTGCTGAAGGGAGCCCAAAGGGAAACCACGAAACAAGAAGAATGGCCAGAAATGGACTTTAAAGGGAAAACATGGGAAAACCCCATGGAAACATTTCAATGGAAAACGGGAACCCAAACGGAAACCCAAAGGGTGCCCAAAGTGAAGCCTCAAAGGAACGGATTTTTAGAGGGAACTTAAGGGGAACACCGACAGAAACGGTTCAAGGGAAATAGAACGATTACAACCAAGTTGAAATCCAAGAAGCGACCTACTGGCGGAATCTGCGTGTCGAGCAGACTCGGGCTCCCGCCCAGTTCGGCAATACCCGGCTCGAGCTCTGAGGCTGCCATCTCCTGGCCGTTTAAAAGCTGATGACCACCCGAAGAGAAACCAACAGGTGGGTAGGACTCTCCTGAACCCCAAAAATACCCATTTGCAGAAGGAACTCCGCTTGGAGTAAATTGGCATGACCGTGTCCCAAACTCGTCTCCAAGAAAAACCGCAAACATGAATCTGCTGCAGTGTCCCTTCAGGATTCTCTTGAAGGCCACCCACCAATCAACTGGACACGCCCGGTTCTCCAAGCGATAGACAATTCAGGGTAGTGAACCAGGATGATCCTGAGAAGCAGGACATGTCCCACGGGTTTGCTTGTCACGGCATGCGCACGCGAGCCTGCAACAGTCGCACCACGTCTTGCCAGCGGCCCAGTTGACCGACTGCGTGCACGGCCGCTGAGTAGGACTCAGGCGCAGGCAAAGCATCTCTCGAGACAACTGAGCCTACGTCCATGAATGCTAATGGAGCCTGTGGTGAGCACCATCTACATGGGCATGTTTGTCCGTCAAACAAAACACAGGTGCGCTTGTAATCCTCCAAAGCGGGTATTCCACAAAGCCCCATGATTACCCGCCATGGAAATGTACACCCGTGTCACAGGGTGCCATACTCTGGGAGCCAGGGGTCCCAGAGTGCGACTTGATTTGGTCCAAAAAGTTGCCCATGCGATTCCTAAGGAATGGTGTGTGTGTGTGTTTCTTGGAGGGGAAACCCCCTTTGGGGTTGGTTTAACGGGAAAGCAAAGGAAAAAGCATCGTATTGGGGGGTCATTTAGAGACAAACCCAATTGCAAAAAGAATCCGAAATCCTCGGCCCTTTTGACAAACATCTGAGAGAACGGCGATGGCATCCAGTCGACCGACTCTCCTCGAGGACAGAAAAGCATGCCCAAAGATTCTTGATCCCTGAAACGAGGTTATCAAGCTTCGCGTCAGCTTCAGTGGTCTGCTGTTGTAGATGAGAAGTCGGATGAGCAACCACGGACTATATGGAAGCTTCCCGGAATCAGGAACTCTCTATTTGGTAATGAATTCTGTTGAAGGAGGGGTATTTCCTTAAAATTGATCTTGATTCAAGGCACACAAACACACAAAAAACTGCTTGCAGGGGTTCCCCCATTTTGCCAATCGCCTATCCTGATTGGCCATCAGCGGTCCTGAAGCCGTCAAGGAGATTGAAGAAGACCTGGCCGAGCAGTGGATCCTTTCGTCTTCCCGTGGCAGGGGGTAGAAGGGGGCATACTTAAATCAAAGGCATTGAGGGGGTCTTTTGGATTGGTTTGAAAGAACCCACAAATTTGGGGGTGCCCCTACAAAAGGACGCGCCTATTTCGAGTTGCAGAAGCTCCAGAAGTTCGGCGTTTGCCCGAGACCCTAGAGCACAGTTCAGGTGGTGCAAGTGGCAACCTGCTGGTCTTTTCCTGCAGGGGAACAATGTGTGTGTGTGTGTGTGCTCAGGATATAGTCTTTGCTGCATGTGTGCACATGTGAGAATCCGCCAGCTTACTCCCTGCGAGCTCAGTCAAGTTCGGGAAGGTCAAGCTTCAAAAGCCTCCCGCAGTTATCAAACATTGTAGGGCCCATGTCTGCATAAATGTGTGTTCCAGCTATGCCACCATCTGTCGCAACACTCCCCGTACTTTGTCCGTGGACACAAAAAACCCTCGACGGCTTCCAGCACTTACCAGCGACGTCTATCCTCACTCCCGGAGTCCCCCGCCTCCGGGCGCGCGGAAGCGGCCGTGAGCACCGCGCTGCAGGTGACCTCCGTGCCTTGGAGCCTGAGATCCGCTTCGCGGTGGCTTCTGGTGGCTTCTGGTGGCTTCTGGTGGCTTCTGGTGGTTTTCTGGTGGTTGAATCGTTACAAATCCCGAGAAATTCCTTTCAGGAGTGATGACCATCCCCTATAGTTCCCCAAGAAGGCGAACCCGTGCTTGCTTCACTCTGGGTTGATGCTGATTGAAGCCCATCCCTCGTATGCGTTGAGTTGCACAGGCAGTCGAATGGGTTTCAACAACCATAGACCCAGTGCGAGGCAACCTAAATTCAACAGGCGTTCACATACGCAACGTGCTCTTCAAACTGAAGCAAAAGCAGCCCGATTTCCGGACTCGCCCGATTTCCGGACCTCGCCCGCAAGCAAAATATGTGACAACAGCTCGTTTTCAAACATCATCCTCAGATCTTTGGACTGATGAGGGCAACCCCAGAACAGGCATCCAAATCCCCAAGCTCAAACCCGGAAACGCAAGAGTCGTCTCCATTTGAGCGGGCGTCAAAATTAAATGGCTGGGGCGTATTCATTCCGACGGTAGGACGCCCCGTATCGTTGTTTTCCGTGTTGTTGTTTTTCTTGTCTTTTTTTTCTCAAGTATTGTTTTTGGGACGTCCCGAATCCTTTCTCAAGAAAACCAAGAAACAGTTCGCATGAAACTCCTACATTGAGTAAATGACTCATGACTCATGTCCATCTGGCTAGGCCATCTAGCAGGGTTCCCTTTCAACCCTCTTCTTGTTGAAAGCAAAGTTCAACCACCTTTCAGTCTGCAGAGTTGCCGCCTTTCAGGCCAGGTCCTTTATTTCAAAGCAACAGAGTGTAAAGAGGTCAACCCGCGGAAAGGCCCCTTTCCAAGAGAAGTCCCCCCCCCTCCCCTTTCTGCCAGGGGTTGCTTTTGGTCGCCCTTCAAGACCCAGTCGCAATCCGCGTTCTTTTCAACCTCCCACGACTTCGCCTCCGGCGCGGCAGGTCCTGCAGCAGAAAGAGCGGCCAGGCCCAGCCCAGGCACCCACAGCAGGCCTGGAACAACGGGCCACCCAATCCCCAAACAGCTTCAAACAGGGGGGTGTCCCACCTAAAACAAAGCAAGCACAAGCTGGGAGGGGGATTTTGGCAGAGTACTGGGCCGCCATCATTTATTTGGGATACTGATAATGAACCTGGCAGTACCTTGGGGGGGAGGAGAGGGAAACCAAACTGCATGAAGCTGAATTCAGGAGTCTTGCGAACGTCTGGTCACAACTGGCAGCATCCCACCACAAACCCAACACCCCACACCACGTCCCACACCCGAGCCCCTCCATCGTTTCCCAACCCCAAGTTCCCAGCGCTCACCACAGAGTTGAAGGACACCACCGATGGCTCTAGAGCTTCCAAAGGCATGGAGTGCAGCATCTGCAGCGGGATCACCTCAAAGAATCACCGCCCGACGCAAACCCAGTGGTTGATCCCAGGGGAAGCCGTGCGACTCCACCCTTTTTCAGTGTCCCCAGTGAACCTTGGATTTGGTCCTTTGATCTCTTTTGGTTAGTTTGTCGGAACCAATTTCAAAGGTGGCTTAATCTATGTGGCGCGGGACCTCTCTGAGTCATTAACCACTCTGCCAAAGAGTGATCTGAGTCATTAAGCAATCGTGGGGTTGGCATCCCGCTTTCTGATGTATTGAAGCAAACAAGGGACCACTTTTCTGGGCTGACCGGTAACTAACCTGATTCACCAATCAGATAAAGAGCTGCTTGGTTTTGACACAGTCTCAATCCTCCTTACGATCCTTCCTCACAGAGATTACGTCTCATGGTTAGACCACGCAGCGCGACAAGACAATGTTCGAAAAGAGACCCATCCAGAATCCTTCAATCTGAAATCCCTGAATGGGACAAGGGTTCTGAAGTTTGAGGGTTGATTTCTCACTCCGCATAGTTGCTTCCAGTCACTCAAATCCCAGCAACATGGACATTTCTGCACCCATCTTTGGCTCCCAGTCCCTTTTTCCCCTTCCGACTGCCATGGAGTCATAGCCAGCTGACAGCTTCAGAGCCGCTGCCGTTGAGCTGAGCGCCGGACCCACTGCAGGCCCTTCTCGCAGGTGCTGGCGGCTGCCTCGAGGAGGGGGGCCAAAATCAAATCAAGTGGCATACTTTCAAACCATAAGTCGTGATCATAGGAGCCAGAGGTTCGTACTTCTTGGCCCACATTGATAGCGCCCTATGGCATTCAGGCGCCCCGCATTGTGGCTGATGGCGTCCAGCTTGACTTGTAGCCGCGAGGCCGCCGCGAACAGACCCAGGGCCTCCTGGTCCGGTGCGAGACCACGGGTGTGCCATTTCGGATTGCATCCAGACCAATCAGCCTGGTCAGAGAGGCAACCCATGAATAGCGAGTCCAAGGGGCGTGACACCCACCTGCTCATCAACCAAAGGCTCCTTCATCCTGGGTTATCGCTAGGAGCCGGTTCTGAACAGAGGATGTGGATTTGTTTAAGATATCCATCGTCGTGTGGTTCCTGCCAAGGAACAACGTGTTGACCTATAATTCGCAACCTCCTTAGATGGACGCCCAGCTCGACTGAATTGAAACAACAAGAGATCCCCAATGCCTCTGCTCAGAGAAAGTCACACTGGATCCGCGTGCCCATGGCCTTGACCCCAAAGGAGAGATGGCCCATCACCCCAAATCAGGGTTCAAAACAACTTTGCCAGGTCACTTTCCCGCGCCTCCCACCGCGCACCCTTCTCACCTGATCTGATCCAAACGCGCGAATGACACTTGCAAGCGCCATTTGGGTTCAGACATCGCCTGGGGAGACAATTGAAAGGACAAGGCCACATGATATGACGCAGCCCTGTTTGGTTCCCCACCCAGCCAGTTTGCAGAACAGTCCGTTTCCCGTTTCTCATCCCGGGCTCAGGCTCCGAGGCTCCGAGGCTCCTGCAGGCGCTGGTGCCCGCGTTGATGGACACCACGTCCGGCTGCAGGCCGTCCTGCTGCAGCCTCGGCCGAGCGTGTTCCTAGGGGCCAGGGGGGAGGAGGGGAGGTTGGCGAGTGCTAGGATGATGTAGTGGTTTTGCTCTTGTTGAGAGGGTACCAACATCTCAACCTGAACGGGCAAACTATTCAATTGGCTGTACCTGGCAAACCGAAATTGGGACAGATCCCCAAAATGGTTTCCGCTGCGATCGGGTGGTTTGGGAGGTTTATGCTGGTTTGCCTGGGTAGCTCCGTGAAAATTAGTTAGTCCCCTGGTTTTTGTTGCCGTGTTTCTCCCAAATGAACCATGGAATGGCTAATTGTGTCCAAACTTCACATTGCAGCAGGAGGTCATCCCAGACATCCAAATTCTGATGCGATCTTCGATCGAACTCGGCACCCGGCATCTCGAAGAAGCCCAGCGCGAGCTCCCAGGACCTAGCCGGGGCGACAGCTTCGCCCACCTCACCCACATTCAATCCTTGACAAAAGATGTTTAGCTCATTCAATCTTTGTTTACAAGGACTGCTCCGTCGCCAACTTGTCTCCCCTCTTCAGTGAGCCCTCCAGTGAGGAATACCAACAGCATTTGACATTGGAACCCATGGAACCCATGGAAGGCATGGAACCAATCTGCCGAAATCTCGCTCTCGACCCAAGGGCCTTGGACCGGAAGGCTCCATCCAACTCCGCCCCTTTCGCGAACCCTTCAGAGTCCAACCGTCGGCGTGCGAGCGTCACCCAAAACGTCCCAAAGCAAAGAATGCCTCAACAGGGCCAATCCAATTGCCAAACCAACAATCGCTCTGTGCCAGGACCCACTTTGGGCTGTCTGAGAAAGCAATGGTACCCAGCATTTTGGGGGTGAACCCCTACAGCGGCCCTACGGACGAACCCTCCTACCCCTACGCAGCGCACCTGCCCTTCTCGCAGGCACTGATCGCCGCGTTGAAGGTGATCTCGTTGGGGCGGATCTTCTCGTGCCGCATCCTCCGCAAAAACTCGGCGTGGAGAAGAAACCCGGCGCTCTCAGCCGCTGTTAGGGTTGTTGACAGGGGTCACTGGATCTCCTCTTCAAAAGTTACAGGTGCGTCCATTGAAGTGTTGAGGGTTCAAAAAAAGGATGGCGCCATATAAGTGCATAGGTTGAGCATCCAGTATCCATGGTTTCTGTCCCGACTATGGTGAACTTATGATGAAGGTCCCTTACGTGTGAACTCCCTATTAAGGTTGGTCACAAAAATGGCAAACCATTGTGACAGTGCCTGGTTGCCTTTCGGTGAAGCCAAGACTTGAAACCCTTGAAAGCTGGTCAAATACATCACGCCGGAGTCCCAAGCCTCTGGTCTATGAGTTCTGCCAAGAAAGTTGTTTGGGGGGGGTTGCCAGTTGGGGCAAATAGCAGAAAAGCTTAGGTATTCCTCTAGTAGTCTAGGCTGCAACCTGAATTGTGGAACTGAGCCGACCACGAAGGGGAAAAAATCAAATCCAACAGTTTCCAGCTGCAATTGACCTTGAGCCATATCGGCTGTCACGCGGGCTCTTTGGAAAGCAACCCTTTCTGCGGCCAAAAGCAAGCTGCAAGCAGAGGTCTCCTTTTAATAGACGGCCCTGGGAAATGCGTTAAAAAACCCGACTACATCTGTGGAACCAGTCTATTTGGCCGTGAGTCAACACCAATGGTACCATTTTGGGGTAGGTGCACCACCCATTTTAGTCTATTTTAGTGGGGATTGGGATGTTCACTGGGGGTACGATTTGGGTTTTGACCCATAGCCATTTCCAAACAAACCAACCGATGAAAACGGACGTGGCCAGGCCTACGGGAGGGCCAGCCGACGGGTCCTTCGCAGCAGCAGCTCCGCCAGGTCCGCACGCCCGGCCGCCTCGCAGCAGCTCACCTAAGGGAACCCGCGGTTCAAGGAAACGGAATCCCCCCCAAAGAACATCCAAGAAAAACACAAAGGTTCTGGAAAAACAAAAGAAAGCTTGGCCTTGGTAGGTGAGCAAACAACTTTGCCCACCAACATGAAGAGGACCAAAGTGCCAATGAATGTCAAACAAACCATGAGGGGTACACACTGAAAGGTCTCATCAATAAATGGAACCCGCCAAGGCAACCAATGCAAAACACCCCAGAGGAAGATCTTCTACTTTTGGTGTTCCGGGATGTCTAGCGGCTTTCCACGGGAAGATGTTCATCTGCTTTCTGGTGCCAACGGGAAGTGTGGGCTTCGGAACCGCAACAGCCAAGCTCCTTTCCGAGTCAGGGAGACGTCTCCCTCCGGGCCCCTGGCTGCGCTGCTGTACACCACCTCGTTCCCAAGCCTGCACGCCAAATCCAGCGCTTCAAATGGGCTGTAGGCACTCCACATAGAGAACACCCCACAATAATTGTGTTGTTGGTTGTGCAGTATCCTGGAAAAGACTGTCATGGCAGCCCAAAAGAGGTTCCTCTACACATTGAATGTGCGTGTGTGTTTGCACCTTTGTTTCCATGCCCATGCTTGGGGAGTATACAAGGACGGGAGATCGGCCTCCGGGCACTCGTGTCCTGCAAGAGGGCGAAGGCCTCAAGTTTCAACTTCATGACACTCCTCCAAAACCAAACCTGTCGCAGTCAGCCAAGAGTTCATATGATCGGTGTCCATGTCTATTGATCCAACAGGAAGCCAACTGAAACGTTCCAACAGCTCGGACTTAGAAAGACATATCACAGACGCTGAGGTGGGCGGCGCCGCGCCAGTGACCGCCGTGCCGGCAGGCGCCCATGGCCTTCAGAGCCCGATTTCGGATATGAGAGTTGAGCAACTCAGAACTTTGGCTTCAGGATGCTGGACCTGGGTGTGTCTTTTTTGGGGGGACCCCCCCAAACAAAAACCAACATAAATGCCGTGTTCCTCTTGGCTTTCCTTTGAAACAAGAAACTGGGGTGCCCTCCAACCTGTGAATGGGACGAAGAACAGTCTGTCCAGCACCAACCGAACGGAAAATACCTAAGTGGGAGCGGGAAACGCCGGCCCAAAAGTTGAGGCCCAAGCCGTGCCATAGGCAATCACATCAGGCAGAACCTGGGCCCGCAAATGGCGCGATTCACGTAACAAAGGAATCTGTCATGAAACCTGGTTGAACTTGGAGAGCTGCAACTGGCTTGACCGTTACCATTCATGGCAAGTTTACACAACAGCACTTTTGCAACATTGATAAACATTTAGAGTAAGCAGCACATGCCAACGTGCAGCCTCTCCCCGCCTTTCAACTTCTGGCAGCATGGATTGTGCTCATGGTCGTGATGCCTATGCTGGGAGCCTTGGCAAGGGTGGCTTAAATTCCCTACTTATGGTTGATCAAGTAATCCACACCAGAGTCATCACTCCCCAGGGAATCAAGGCCCAAGTCGCTGCCACCAAATTCAACCTCAAGAGATTGACCCAAAGAGATTAACCCAAGCAACTGCAAGTAATGTTGACACTCGATTAGTAAAGGGTACCGGAATAATAGAAAGTGGTTTCCCTTATTATGGTTCACACCCATTGTTTAAGGGGACCAGAATAATAGAAAGTTGTTTTGGCCAGGGGGAAAATTAAAAAAATCCGCAAAGCAAATAAAAAAAAGAAGAAAAAAAAAACATCCCCCCAAACAATCACCCAAAATCCATGTTGACCCCAAAATCCAGCCAGCTGAAACTCTGAAATTTGAAAACCATCCCCAGCCCTGAAACTGCAAACTCTTTATTAAACCGTGCTTAAAAATTGCAAAAAACAATCAGGACAAGGGTACCCCTCACAGACCCCACAGAACCACAATATATAATGTGATTGTTTTAGGGGACCACAATAGTGAAGCCCCCAGCCCCCCCTCCCAGAAAATAAACTATCACTTGCTTTGCTCAAAAGCATTCCCCTTTCAATTGGTGGCCCACTTGCTTAAAAGCATCCCCTTTCAATTGGTGCACACTTGCTTAAAAGCATTCCCCTTTCAATTGGTTGCTCAACCACAGAACCCAAAGCCAAACCCCCAGTTGACAAGAAGTGGTTGCAATACTAAAGTAGAATTGCAAAAAGGAAGTGGCTGCAATACTAAAGTAGAATTGCAAAAAAGAAGTGGCTGCAATACTAAAGGAAGTGGCTGCAATACTAAAGTAGAATTGCAAAAAGGAAGTGGCTGCAATACTAAAGTAGAACTGCAAAAAGGAAGTGGCTGCAATACTAAAGTAGAATTGGGCCCCAAAACCCTCCATTGTTTGGACGTCCCAAAAGTGCACCCCCATTATTTTGGCGCCTCCATTGTTGAGGGGGGGGGGGGGGGCCCTTTATTAATCAAGTGCCAACATTATCTGAATCCCAGCAACCCCACCCAAGCAACCCAACCGAGCCCCGCGCTGCGTTGCCGAGCATGGCTCGCAACACCTCCAGCGCCTGCGGATCCGAAAGTCCGCAAGTTCCGAAACAAAAGCAATCCGAAGAAAGGAAACACAAATTCAGGGGGAGAAAACCACTGAACCCAGAAACGAAAGAAACTGGCACTGGAACATTGGACATCCATGCGCTAGGTCTAGGTTGGTGTATTTGATTTCCGCTTTGCTTCTGCGGCCTGCTGCCACTCGCCCTCTTGCTCGCAGCACCTCATCGCGACCTCACTCAAATCAGATGTCAGACAATGGTCATTCCCCATTCCCTGGGTGAAGTCATTGACCGCCCAGAAATCGGGCACTCTGGCCAGCCGTCAACTTTAGCCGTTTAGACATCCCCTATTTGTTGGCTCACTGTTTATCCGCACGAATTCTAGTCTTCACCAGCCGGAATTCAGGAATTCCCAAGTACGGGGCGCTCTATCCCCAGTTTCAGCCTCTGCCCACACCTCTCACGAGCCCAGTGACTCCCGAGCCAGGCGATGCGATGTGTTGGGCTCCCAGCGCTGCAGGCGACAACGCCCACCTCCAAAGCGTTGAAGGACATGGTCTCCAACACTAGCAGCGCCTCGATTTGATCAGACTCCCCGACTCCTTGACCCAAAGACCGGCTGCAGACGGTCCGGTGCAGACGGGCCCCACGGCCCAAAGACAGCTTTTTAAGGACAGAACTGAGGGTCTTGGACGTGGGAGAAAGCAGTCGTTGGAGCTGGCCACGTTCGAAGGTTTGGGAATCAAGCATAAGCTGCAGCAATGCACAATCTAGGGGCATCTCTTGGGATGTACCTTCGAGTTTGGGCATGCTTTGGATGACTTATGACTTGAAAGTCTTGTTGTCCGCCTTCTCTCGCTCTCTCTCTCCCCCTCGCTCTCTCTCGCTCTCTCTCTCTCTCTCTCTGTCTCTCTCTCTCCCCCATCTCTCGCTCTCTCTCTCTCTCTCTCTCTCTCGCTCTCTCGCTCTCTCTCTGTCTCTCTTTCCCCCATCTCTCTTTCTCTCTCCCTCTCTCTCTCTCGCTCTCTTGCTCTCTCTCTCTCTCACATTCTTCTCTTGCCCTCTCGCAAAGACTTGGGCCTGAGTCTGAAGCCTCGAGAAGCTTCTTGTCCTTCCAGGTAGCTAAATTCACCCTTGTTTGCGCTAAGGTCCGACTTGCGTCGCCAACACTCTTCACTACTCATCTCACACACACACACACAGAGGACAGGACAGGACGGGACGGGACAGTACTGAGAGGACTGGACAGGACTGAAACAATACTGAGCACTGCACAGGACAGACGAAGACAGACAGAGCCACCACAACCCACAAAAGAAAAGGGGGTGGCAAGCAAGCACCCATCACTTCACACCAGCGTGACCAAATAAGCTCAGGCCATATCCCCAGCAACATAGTATGTTCGAGAATCTTCTGGACCCCCAGAGCCCGCTGCACCGCAGGAACCGTCAAGCAACTGCTCCAGACCTCGTCTGGAGCCTGGGAACCCCCCCACCCAAGAACGCCCTTCAACCCTTCCCTTCGGGTCCCTTCGGGTCCCTTCGGGTCCCTTCGGGTCCCTTGGCGCGCTTGGAGAATGTTGGCGTAAAAAATGGAAGTACCTGAATTCTTCGGGTCTCCGCAAAAGGGGCTTCCCAAAAGCGGACGCCTATCCCCCTGTGCGCGCGGCTGGCTCCCGCCACCCTTTGAAACACTTCTGGAGCAATGGCGTGTCGCGCTTGCTGAGCACCAGCTGCAAACGGCCAGCATTGCTCTCAAGAACTCTTGCGCTCAGCTTCATGTGCCACAGCATGTTCAAAACAGCTGCCCGAACATCGGTGGTGTCCCACCCCTTCCGTGACCTGCCATATCCTGTGACTATGATGCACTTGTACGGTTCAGATACGTGCAACCCTTCGCCAATACATGGCGCCACCAACATTGCCAGCCACCAACGCACTGCAAGCTGAGCCGCCCCCTCTGACAGCTCATGAAGGTCGATAATATGTGGACTCACATTCTTGAGTTTTGGAAAAACATTTGCTGACAACCCACGTTCAAAGAAAATCGGCCCGTGCGGCTTGTTGAACAGAGCATCCAGCAATGCAAAGTAGCTGATCACGTTCGGCTGTACCTTTGATTGAGGCATGGCCCCAAATAAGGCCAAAGCTTGCTGCCACTGCCCGCCCTTGCCAGAAGCAATGATGGCTGCATTGTAGCTGATCACATCCGGGTTGACTTTTGCCTGACGCATTTCCCCAAACAAGCCCAACGCTTGCTGCCACTGCCTGCCCTTCTCGCAAGCACTGATGGCCGCACTGTAGCTGATTACAGTCGGCTGTATCTTTGCCTCAGATATGGCCCCAAACAAGCCCAAAGCTTGCTGCCACTGCCCGCCCTTCTCGCAAGCGCTCATGGCTGCATTGTAGCTGATCACGTCCAGCTTAACTTTTGCCTCAGGCATGGCCCTAAACAAGACCAAAGCTTGCTGCCACTGCCCACCCTTCTCGCAAGCACTAATGGCTGCATTGTAGCTGATCACGGTCGGCTGTACCTTTGCCTGAGGCATGGCCCTAAACAAGCCCAAAGCTTGTGGCCACCTCCCGCCCTTCGCGCAAGTACTGATGGCTGAATTGTAGCTGATCACATTCGGTTGTACCTTTGCCTGAGGCATGGACCCAAACAAGCCTAAAGCTTGCTGCCACTGCCCGTCCTTCTCGCAAGCACTGATGGCTGCACTGTAGCTGATCACGTCCAGCTTGACCTTTGCCTGAGGCATGGCCGTAAACAAGATCAAAGCTTGCTGCCACTGCCCGCCCTTCCCAGAAGCATTGATGGCTGCATTGTAGCTGATAGCATCCGGCTTGACCTTTGCCTGAGGCATTTCCGCAAACAAGCCCAAAGCTTGCCGCCACTGCCAGCCCTTCCCACAAGCACTGATGGTTGCATTGTAGCTGATCACGTCCGGCTTAACCTTTGCCTGAGACATGGTTGACAGCACACAGCATGCATCTCGCCATGATGCCTGCTTCGCATAGCTGCTAATCTTGACATTGTAGTCCCGAGCAAAACGGTTCAGATTCAAAGTTTGAGTTGTGTTGCATCCGCCTGCTCTGGGAGCGTGTGGTGCATCCTTTGGCCTGCTGTCTGCGACGTGCGTGCTGAAGCGTCGCACATCACCCGGCGCGCTTCGAACATCTACGGCGCGTTTCGGTGCACGCCGCGAAGCCATGCCCGGACTTGGACAAGGAAAAGTCAAGTGGGACAGCAGGACTTTCGTCCAAATGGACCTGGATGGGCCCCGTCCTGCTGGTCTGAAGCCTTTTGCAAAAGTCTGAACTTGCTTTCGTTTGGCAGGGGTACCCATGCACAGCACCGGTCTGAAGAACCCACATTGTGTAAGTAGTCGCTAGGTTCCAACCAACCCATCCAAAATCCATGTTCAGGATCCCAAACCTCAAGGTTTAAGAGGAGCTCAGGTGAGTTGGGCAGCACCACGAAAGGGACCCGACTGGTGCAACGAGTCCAGTGGCCATCGCTCGCTCGCTCGCTCGCCCGCGCCGCGCCTGGCGCCAGGCCTTGCCCTTGGCGCAGGCCCCCAGGGCCGCGCCGCAGAGCACCGCGTTGAGCCCTCGCGGTCGCACGGAGGCCGCGGTGGCCGTGGCCGGGGCAGATGGGGGCAAACACCACGGATGCTGGGCCAAGTTAGCAAGTTCGCGATCTCTATCTTTTAACCCACCGTAGAAAGGGCGTCGCGAAGATTGGGGACACATGAGCGGGTAACCTGGAACCCTTCAACACCATGGAAACCACGACGAGTTGATGTGTACAAAGTGGCTTCAACATGTTCGCCCAGAACTCTACGTTTGCCCGCGCCCCCGGCCCCCGCCGCAAAACGTTGGCTGCCAGCTCGGCTTTGTTCTTCAGGGAAGGCACAAAACCCCCACAAAACCCCCCCAGAAGACACATGCCCCCCCCACCGAGAAACCCGAAACCTCCCAACCCTAAACTGTGTTGCTGGTCAACAAAGAGAAGACACGTTGCCCCCCCACCCAGAAACCCGAAACCTCCCAACCCTAAACTGTGTTGCTGGTCAACAAAGAGAAGACACATTACCCCCCCCCCCCCCAAGAAACCCGAAACCCCCCAACCACCATACCCCTGTGCGGCAACTGCTGATCTGTGGGCGAACGTGACGTTCTGTGGGAACATGTTAAAGCAGCCCCGGTCCTGGCTGGACAAGTATGGCTCAAAGGGAAATCCCAAAGAACTAGAGTTGGCCTGCTTTGGGGGGGAACCCCACAAGGCGACACGTTTGGTGCTGCCCTGCAAGGGTCAAAAAGAGGGGGTGTGCACAAAAAGGCACTCCAATATCCCTCCCAGCCGCTATAAAGGAACATGATTAGCCAAGCAACTGAAGGATCATGGGCAACGGGAAATGCCCAACTATGCGTCCCCTTTTGAAATTGACCTTGAGAATCGCCCTCGATACAGGCTACATGAGGTTGATACATTTTGGGCAAAGGGCAAGTAATGCTTGCCCTTGATTGAAGAAAGGGCCGAAAGTGAAACCGGGACCACCCTTCCTGGCTCTGTCTCAGATGGTGATGCGAGTTTAGAGAAAAACACCCAAGGAAACAGAACACTTGGATGGGGTTCCTTGTTTTGGGAAACATCCATGTGGGTTCCGGGCATATATATATATATATATATATTGCGCTATAAGAAGCCAGGCTGAGCAATCCGAGGCCCTCATCACCTGCCGGCATCACACCAAGCAGCAAACACCATGCAACCGAAAAGTAAGAAATCGCGTATTCCGCCACTAAAGCATACCGCGCCAAAAGTTGAAAACTCGGAACACGTCCGGAACCTGTTGCTTGCCCCAAGAAACTAGCAACCCCACCTGTCTGGATGCATTATGATTACTCACCCTGACAAAAGGAAAAGAACGCTGAAATCGGTCGAGCTTTTACAAAACTCCCCGGTCGATGAGGTCGCTCTCAAATCGGCAGGTGTCAAAATCAGGGAGCCCCAAATGTGCCGGTGTTCCTGGTCTTCCCCCAACCACCCAAAAAAAAGTAACCCGGCATCGCCCGCCGAGGCAACCGCCTGTGGCGGTTTCGGCTTCCGAGAGGAGAGCCAGAGCCCCAGGCCACTGGGAGGTCTTCCTCAAGGTTTGGACGGAGCTTTTGTGGGGCGGTTGAAGCTTTGGCCCGGGGTTCAACCCCCGTGAAAAAGAATGGTTGATCCAATTTGGATGAGAAAGGGAAACAATGGCGGTGATATTATTTTGATGGTAGTTGGAACGCCAGGGATTGGGTTTCTGTTGGGTTTGGTTGAGGGTTGAGGGCTGATGGCGTACATTGCGTTGGCTTGCTTGCTGCTTGGGGCAGGGTGAGTTTTGTCTGGGCCTGTTGCACCGGCGCGACCGAGTGAGTAGTGGCATTCAGGTTGAAAAAGTTGCACAATAATGCGATGAGTTCGGATTGCTTGCCCCTCAGCAGTTCCTAGTTGGCCACTCTGACGTTTGGTCAAACGCAAATAAATGCTGGTCACCCTCAGTACGCTGCACTTGTATTGATAAATTGTGTGGGATTCCTTGATTCAGGGCAGCATAGGGATCAAAATAGCCACTCTTGGTTGCTCATCTCTTGACAAAATCTGGACCCCCAAAACAAATGGGCTTGCCATTCAATCCCATCGCTCCACCAAGCGGCAACCCACTGCAATCATCGCGATGCTTCACATGGCTTTCAAGGGAAACAGCGGGTTCGTCTCAAAGCAAAAGCCCCCAACCTTCCGGCAGATTGGACACAGCAATTCAATCAACCTGACTGGGGCTCAATCAACACCAGAGCACAACAGCTCAACGAAGCCCCCAATATCCAGCAGCTGCCCACCTCAACCCCTTCCCCCCAACTCCAAGCACCACGCTCGAGGGCGCCGATGGCCGCGCCCTGTGCAAATACCTCCGAACGCCAAATAGGGTGGGGGCGTGGCTCGTGCCGCAAACTCAGCGCTTGGTTAGAACCTGCGGATCCTCGGTTTCAAGAAGCTGGTTCTTCGTTCGCCAACATAAAAGCCTTCTCGGTGGATGGCTCAAGTAAATCAAAGACTGGCAAATAATAGAAGGAACTTTCCCATGCAACCGTGGAATCCCCCAGAACAGCAAATGCCAAATGACGATGCATGGGCAGTTTAGGCTTTTTGGTGGGTGATTTTTTTTTACAGTGCAGCACTCCACTGGGCGTTGCAAACCGACCCTCCAAAGTAACACATCTAGCAACCACATTGACATACAACTGGGCACTGGCCACCTTGGGAGCTCATTTAGAGCGCCTCTCACAAGTCGTGCAACCCGCAAATCAAGGGCCACTGTGCCGTCCAAAGTTTGTTCAGCTGCCATGTCCGAGTCATCCCAGCGCTACCAACAAGGCTGACTGCATGGATGGTGGCGCCATGCCATGCAGGGTGCACTCACTTCTACGCCGGTCGACCGCATCTCCTGGACCAAAGTGGCTGGCAGTCCATGGGTTCAGGATTGAGAAATGATCAAACCTGGTAGACAGGTCTCGCACCCATTTCTGGCTGGGGCTCAGAAAATACGTTGAGGGATCAAGAATTTGTCTTTGGGTTGAGTATAGTCCTCAAGATGTGTGGTCATCCGTCTTTTTCGCATGTTTACCAGTAACAACTCAGTCAGTCTGATACGTGCGAGCGTAGATAGTCAGTACCACCTGTATGCAGCAAGTCCATGGGTGTTGGCGGCGTTGCCCCCATATAAGTCGACCACAAAAACAGCTGGGCAAGCCAACCAATTTAGTGAACTTGGATGGTTGAGGTGGGACTGGTCCCCAGCGGGATTGATTCACGTCTAATTTGTCTGATCGTAATTCGGTGAGTGTACTCTACGCTTACTACAATATTTGATGGTGAATTTGGGGTTGCTTTCAATACATGAAACCCTCAAAGTGATTGTGTTTCACTTTGACATCTGAGAATCTGTGCTGAACTCCGGCGACCAGGCACAAGTCTTGGGCGACCAGTCACGAGAAGAAGGCGTCTGCAGATCCAGCCCTGCAGGTTCTCCATGACTTTCGCCAAGGTCTCTCTGGAAACGTCGCTGACGCGCAAGTGGCCCTGAACGAAGTGGTTTTGGAGGATGTAGATCCCCTTCCTCGCTGCCTTGCTCTCTTCATGGGGGGCTTCAGGTTGCTGAGTGAGAGTCTTGATACTCGCCGAAGTCCGGGAAGATTGTGCTCATCAGGCTATTGTAGCTTGCCGTTCTCTTCAACTTCAACTCCTACGTCGGGTAGTAGGCGATCATCGTTTTGTCCCCCAACTGCCTCTCGCTCAAGAGCTGTGGCCCGATCTTCTTATACTCCTTCTTCTTCTTCTTTTTCTTCTTCTTCTTCTTCTTCTTCTTTTGCTTCTTCTTCTTCTTCTCTTGCTTCTTCTTTTTCTTCTCCTTCTTCACCATCTTTCTCGAAACCAACCCTCGTGTGAGGTAGGTGTTGCAGTGCTCCCTGTTCAAGCAGTCTTGTACCTCCACCAACACGAAGCTGGGTTCCTTCTTGCTTTCTTTCACCCTCCACATCTCTTTTAGCATGATGTCCAAGTCCTCCTTGTTGGGCCACTTCGCCCTCCAGGACAAGACTTCTTTGGTTCCTATCACCATGTGTGTGTGTGTGTGCGTGTATGTGTATATATATATATATATATGCATGTATATGTGCGTATGTGTATGTATATTCATATATGTATATACATTGACTGTTCCCTGTGTGCAATGAATCGCCCGAGTCCTGCAGGGTGCACAGGGCATCGCGCCAGAGCCGCTGGCGCCCCAGAGCCGCCAGCCTCAGCGAAACGCTCTTCGCAGCGACCGTGCAGCGTGCGGCGTGCGGCGTGACCGGAAGGAAGCCAAACAAAACGAAAGGAAACCAAAGGAAGCCAAAGGAAGCCAATGGAACCAAAGGGAAACCAAGGGGAACCGCCCATTTTGGGGGTCCCCTTCAACCATCCTGCCTTGCAAAGGTGACTGAGACTGTCCGATCTCTGGACGTTTGCAAATAGACCTCTGTCTACGTTCGAGGGATGGAACTCCTCTCTTTCAAACTTAGGCAGGTGGAAAACAGCGGAGCTTGGTTTCCGTTCCGATTCCTTCCGAAATGACACATACCGCGTGGCCTTCCTAGCTATTTCAAAACTGGCGGGCCGGTGGGGGGAGGGGGGCAGCAGACCCCTGCTTGCGAGATATCCGGCATTCCTTCCGAACTTGAAGCGCTGACGCTCGCGACCAGATTGACAAATTATCTTGTTGCAGCCGCGACCCCTGCAAGTTCCCCCCAGTTCTAGTCGCAATCCCCACGCCGAGATCTCGCCTCGATGTCCACTGTGCGCCGCTGCATGCCTCTGAAAACGCAATTTGTTTGGTGCGGTTTCTGCATGACCATCGCCAGTCTCTCCCAGTTTAAATTTCCGCGTGCAAAAAATGCATTCTACATGCTTGCATACTCACAGAGAGAGACAGATACGTATCACGCAAAAAATATGGTAATTACCACTTGGTCTGCAAATGAATCGCTCTCTCCACTCGCATCAGCCTGGCCTGGCTTCGAGTCATCGCAGGCTTCCATGGCGGAAAGGCAAACTTCAAACGCGAGCGAGAAATGGCCCAGCGCCCTAGGTGCCCGGTGGGCATGGCAAGTTGGACCCTTGTATCAGTTGGTTTCGCATATAGAGTGATGCTTCGATACATGAAAGCTGCCATCTCTAGGAATTTTGCCATGTCTCATATATCAGACCATCAGCTTCCGTGGGCTTCCGCACGCATCCCGAAATGTCCCAAGTTGACCTGCGGCCTTGGATACAAACCGCTTGGTGATTGCATCGCGCTGATCAATGAAGCTGGGGCCACAGGTGTCAAAGAGTTTTCCCCGCGGCTGGATTTGGTCTGCCCGCGGCTGGATGTGGTTCAAATGGGCGTGCCTCTTTTGGAGCCTCGACCCGTTTGGCGACCTCGATCTGCGGCGCCTCTCAGGAACCAATCGATGGGGGCGCGCCTCTTTGGGTGAAAGTGGGTGCGTCTCCAAAATAGGGAAAGAACCTAATGGACACCTCCAACAAGTAGCCCTCGAGTCACCCCAAGCAACTGGCCCCGTAATCTCAAGTTCAACCATCCCCGACCCCACCCCAAACCAAAAAAAAACCAAACAGCTTCAATTTTGACACCCCAGAATCCCAACCAACCGCACGTCAGACCTCCGCACCATGGATATTCAATTGCCCAGTGCCCAGGGCCCTGCGAAGGGCCGGGGTGGACCTCTGCCTTGTTCACCGGGATGCAAAGGAGGCCTCGGTTTGCCACCGGCCGCGCAGGTTTGTTTGCTGGGCCTTTCTCTCTTGGCTGCTTCCTTGGATGGGATGGTTGGTTGTTTTGCTTGCCTTCTGTGACAAGCATGGTTGCTTTGCGGTTGTTCGCTCCCTGCTGGCTTCTAGGTTCAAGGTGTCCATTACTTGGGGCGGGTGGTTGGCATATTCACATGGGCCTGTCCTTTGATAGGGGACCCCCCAAAAAAAAACAAAAAAGCTCAGGTGGTATCCCCAACAGCATTCGGTGCTCTTTTTAGTGCTCGCACCACCCCGCGAAACATCGTGGAACCCTGGTGGAACCCTGGTGGAACCCTGGTGGAACCCTGGTGGAACCCTGGTGGAACCCTGGTGGAACCCTGGTGGAACCCTGGTGGAACCCTCGTGGAACCTTCCCTCAGGGCCGCCCCGGACCACCCCAGAGCCTATCTGGGCTGAGACCCCAAAGCTTTCAGCTGTTCGGTAAAAAAGAAAATAGATAAAAATAAAAATGGGTGTTGTCCATTTGGTTTTCGATTAAAACCAACCAAAAAAGAGTATCCACCAAAAAAGACGTCACCCAAGTACAGACCAAAGGCCCTTTGCCAAGTTTGGCGTTCCCCCGCCAGTTGCTTAGAATGATTTTGGATGGAACATAGCGACACATGAATGGGCGCGTCCCCAGCACTGCTTGCACAAATACAACCAGTGCACGGTCCAAAGCATCCAGAGATGAAGGGGAAAAGAAGTGGGACCCAAAACACGGGCCAAACACCGAGAAATCAAATGTAAAAGCTCGAAGTTAGTCAGGTGAGGTACACCAGCGGCAATATTCAGCCGGGGACATGTTTTCTTGCCATAAAGACATCTTCGTCCTTGGACTTGCATCTGCGCGCGGGCGCTCGGGAGGCCTGATCTGGGAACTAGACCAGGGGCTCTCCCCAGGGCTCGCAAGTGCATGTTTGATGCCTTGAATTTAAGAGGCATTGTGCCATCAGATTTAAAGATAAGTAGCCAACACCAAAATTTGCCGCTTGGCGTCAAAAGAAGTCGTGCACTTTGAATTCAAGTCGAGCCAGCTGTGCTCACTTTGCTCAGCGCCAACCGGGTCGGCGTCTGCGGCGTCGGCCGGGGCCCCCTGGGCGCCGTCGTCTGCGGCCGGGTCCCCCGGGTCGCCGACGTCTCCTGCGGCGATGTGCTGATTTCTCCTTGGAGGTATCCTCCTCCCCTTCCTCGTCCTCCTCGAAGACTTCTCCAACTTTCTCTGGCTGTGTCTTAGGGCTGCCCAACTGTCCAGCTTTCGGCAGTGCTGCACCCTTGGACCCCTCCTTTTCAACAACTCCAGGGGTCTTCGGCTGATCCTTGTTGCCCTTTGGCTCTTTCGGCTCTTCCACCACAGCTCCCACTTCAGCCGGAGACTCCTCATTCTTCGTGGCACTCTTCGTCTCTCCACGGAGGTTCTGCACCTCATCGCCAGCAACCGTGGCGAAAGCCACAGCCAGCACAAGGGCCAATCGCCTCATGGCCGCTAACTGACGGACAACCCTTGCTGGAACGCTCGTCTTGAACCAAATGGCTTGAGCCAGTTTAAATGGACAGGGGTTCCACAAGCTGAATTTACTGCAATCACTGCTCAATCGTCAGGTCTTCCCCTATTCATCTCCCTCAAGATCTTGTACATCTATGGTCTCTTCTATGGTTCTATGGGCCACCATCATAAGTCACTTGTCTAACGCACTCCAAAGGGGTGATGATCATGTCCCCGGCTACATGGACCGGACAAAACTGGCAACCAGGGCTTTCTGGGTTGATTGGCACGCCTCTCAACCGGTGGGATCCGGGCCATCATCATAGCACACCTTCTGTGTGATCACCTCACGAAGCTCAGAAACTGTCACGCCTTCTACCCAGTCTCTCACCGCGCCAAGCTGCGGGAAGCTGCGGCGTTCGGTTCGAAACGACCCCTTTCCGCGTCATCCCTACCCTCTTCAGCAGTCCTGAAAGGATTTCCTTTCAGTGATGCAGGTCAGGAGATGCTCTCTTCCCCTAGAATATGCCCCCCCCCACCCCCCAGACTCTTCATCCCCAAACCAAACCCTACCCAACAAATGTGCGGTTGCTTATATACGCCAAGATCGAAATGCGTTGTTCCCGCAGTCATGAAACAATCAGTGAGTCCCACTGCCTTCGCCCCTATGTCTTCGACTCGACCAAAAGGACTCCGCCTAGAATCGATGGCCCAAGAAAGGAGTCTTTGGCTTCCTTTCCCCTTTTCAACACCACTTGTTAAAAAGCCACAGGGCTGGCACACATGTCATGGCCAGGGTCCCCTGTCAGAAGCCTTGCCGTGGTCCAAGTTTCCTTACAAGTGATGGCCAAAGTCGTGGTTTTGCCCATGCCTCCCCCCCCCTGAGAAGAGGGCGCTGCTCCCCTCGAAGCTCACCGAGTCCTTCTCCTGTCCAGGTCATTCAGAACTCAGAGCCGAGACTTTGAGTCTATCGGACGCTATGGTCCATGCCTGTCGGATTGGATTTTAGAAATACCGCGGTGTCAAGAAATCAGCAAAGGAGTCCAAACCACATGCGCTCCCTTCGGAGCTCAATGTAAGTCATAGGGTGTGATTGCACGACATTTAGTGTCCCATACTTTGCCCGTGTTTGGCTCCTTTCATCAAGTCTGCAGGTGATATGTTCTCTCGCGCCTTGAAATCGCCAGGCAAGCCTTCATAGCAGCTCACGACGAGGGAAGTATCCTGCCCATGGCACCGGTGGCGTGCTGTGATTGTAAGCTTTCCCACTCCGACAGTTTTGGGGATGGCTGCCAAGTCCTGTCGACCTCCAGAGTCCCAGAGCGTTGAATGTGGCATTCAGATCTCAACGACCCAGTTTGGGCGACTGAAGCTTAGACATACAGCTAGGAGGAGCATGATGCAAGCCAGAAGCAATCAAAGCTTGCCTCCGGGTCACCCCGCGTGGGCAAGGATACCCCATCCATGCGGAAAGCATGTCAAAATCACGCTCGCTGTTCAAGACAAGACAAGAAGCTAGCAGGATATCCAGCATGGGAACCCTGGTTCAGTTCCTCCCACCGGGACCCCACTAGAGGAAGCTTACACAGACCTCTCGACTCCGAACTCCGGCGGGGTCCTCCTCCCATCCTCTGGAGCCAGAGACCTTCCACACGCTGCAGACCTGCCGGTCACCCACTTCGAGGGGCTCCCGCATTCCCCCCAATGCCGGCTGATGTGGGGCGAACCCCGAGCTTTGAACAGGGTGTCGGCCGCAAGATTTTGGGCCTGGCTGAATCGATGGTGTTCCCTAGTCACTTTCGGGGGGGCTCCCTGGCGGCTTCCTTCAGGCCCGTGCTGTCGTTTGCCCACGCAAGCGCTTGGCCGGATTCCATGGACTGGAACATTCGCAAGTGTGGCCCTTCCTGCCAAATGTGCACGACCCGTTGGGCGGGAACTCCAGTTGGCGACCGTCGGCAAACCCCAACTGGCCGCCCACTGCTCGACTTGCCGCTGGAAAAGCCTCAAAATGCACCTAGTCCGCATTCCCCGAAAGGAGTGGCAAAGCCTTTGATGGAAACCTTGCAGACATCCTGAAGCGTTCTGAAAAGAAGGGAATCCCTCAAAGCAGCTGACAATCATGTATTTCCAACTGACCATCATGTGCCCTTGAGGGAACCTGCCCACACCTCACACCCGGTCCCCACTTTTGCGCAAGCCTCATCTGGAAACTCCGCCGAGTCTGTGACGTACCTCGGGACGAGGCGAAAAGCACAAGGCAAACCCAAAATCGGTCGCACCATACACACCAAAATATGCCTTGGCCCTCATGGCAAGAAAGAAACGAAAGATTTTGAGACCTTGTTCCGCCTGACCCAAATATTTCTTTGAACCTGCTTCACATCTCAATTGGTGTGCCAGCCTTGGTAACAAGATGTGTCATTTTACCAGAATTAGGCCGCAAACGCGGAAGCAAGACTGTGTGGGCCGCTTCTTCAACACTGGCCCCTCAGAATCTGGACAGCTTGTTTCACCTAAAATGTTGCAGCTAAAAAAGCTTTGCAGATGATGCTTCAAGCTGCAACAAAAATGGTGATCCACCTTTTGATTCCCCTTTAAAGCCCCACAAGGGGCTCCCGAGTCGCAAGGCGTAGCAACTTGAGGCTTGAGGACTGCGAGGCCCCGGCGCCCAGCCCTCACAGCGCTGGCCGCCCGCGTCCGGGCGCCCGGAGAACATCCAATCCCGCAAAGTGGTGTACAGCAAGTACCTCACGGCCGAGTCTCCGGGGCGAGTTCAAAGACCGGCGGTTGCTTGCCAAC